TTTTTCTGGGTTTAAGGATTTTCCCAAATTCTGCGACTTTTGAATTTCACAGTAGTTTTAAGGCTAAAACTGTCTGGTTGTGTGATTGCTGCCTCAGGCCGTTGCCATCGCTTTGGCCACTTGAGTGGGTAAGCTCATCACATAGTAAATCCGTAAAGTCAGATACAGTTTCAACCTCACAATGCACACACATACTTTTCATTTCTGCTTGTAACGCTTCACCATGTAAGGTCCTGTTCAGACTTTTCCTGTCACGGAATGGTAACAGGTATTCCAAGGTGTGATTAGAAGCCATGAGTTTTCTTTTATTAAGCGTTCTGTTGCGGGTTTACATCTTATGCCCAGTTTACTATTCTTGCCCCTTTCCAAAGTCTACGGTTACATGTGTATTTAATATATAAAGGTATGTCTGGTGGCCTTTACATTGGCTGGTTGTTTAGATTTGTAATATTCATCATTTGCACACTAATCCTTTCCAGTGTTAGGGGGAGATTTGACCAGAATGTCACTTTGGGACACATCAAGTGGCAGAGTGAGAGGCCACAGGTTCAGGGTTCCTGAAGGTCATTTAAGAAATGTGCTTTAATGGGAGGATGGGTGGGCGAGCAGTTACTCCGGACTTCTGCACTCGAACCTCTCGTGTGATCATGAAATATATTGGGGAATGGGTGGGAATCGAAGATTTTAAGATCCTTTTAGTCTTACTTAAAGGTTTGAGCTATGGGGAATGTGATTGCTGACGCTGTGCTTGAAATGTCGGTGGTCTTCTCTTCTGGTCGTGGAATGCCCTGTCGCTTGTGCCGAACACGCCCGTACAGAATCATCAATAAACGTTAGAAAGATGCCCTGGATGGAGTTCGTTCTCGAATCTCTTTGGGCCTTAGAGAGATGTTTCACAAGTCTCTCTTCTTAGTAATGTGACTCATTAGTTATTCATATAACCCTCACATCTGATATAGCACTTTGGGAGACGGTGCAAACAGTTACATTTGTGACAGAAATGGGGGTCGCTGCCCGGTTCACTGCGCTGTGTCTTTGGGTCGTTTCACTGTCCGTTGAGATTGTCTCCAAAACCCGAAAAAGGTTTGAGGAGGAACTTACACTTTCATAGAATGTGAAAAGCAGGAGAGAGTCTGACGAAGAGCGTGAAGACGACAGAGGGCAAAATGCAGGTCTCTTGGGGTTGAGCATTGAAACTTTTCTCGACACAGGAACCCGGCCTGGGTCCAGGTGCTGTGGTCTGCGCAGGTTGAAATTCCATCCACCCGACCCTGTTTGCGTCTTCGATCTCATAACGTGCAGGAAGTACGAAGCTATTTTAGGTAACTTGCTCACTAAGGCTGGAACACCCACAGGTTATGGCGGGTTAGACCTCGTTCGGACTGTGCGTTCAAGTCACAATGTGGAGCTTGAACCCACAATCTTCCGATCCAGAAGCCAGTTCCTTAGGTTTGGGGACAACTGAAACTCCGGATGTGGTGAGCGAGCCTTGCATAGACTTGATTAACGGATTTAGGCCACATCTCGGACATTCCCCTAACAATGTCTTTATTTCACTAGGTTGCCCCAGTAGTACCTGCACGGAACAATCCTAGCTTCTTTAAGGCCCGAGCTACAGTACTTCGATGCTTTGAGAATTCATCTAACACAATGCTATGGGCTGGTGGGGCACCACAAAGGAGTTGCCCGGACAACTAGGAATAAATATATATATATATATTATATACACACATAGACTCTCGATCCTTACTGTGAATTGGAGATAGAGGTTAAACGCATACTGTAACCTCTCACTGCACTGCACGTCTTCTGTGAAAAAGTTTCTGGACTTGTGCTGGACACACTCTCTTCCTCTTATGTCATGGATGTTACGAACCTGAGTAAGCGCTGCCTTCTAGGATGTGCGTCTGACTTGACTGTATTGTGATGTATTGGCTAAATCGACAAAAAACATTTGTTATGTTAAAAAAGCCAATTGACGCCCGAAATTCCAGTCTTAGCCCCCTCCCTTGTCTCCTTCAAGTCCCCTCTCAAAACCCTCCTCTTCGACCGTGCCTTTGGTCAGGAGCAGAGTAAAGGCTGCCCCAACCCCTCACCCTCACATTAACCTCACGCTATCTCTACTTTAACGCTATAATTTTGCTACTAGTTTTATTCGTTGCATTTCTTTTATTTTGCTTGCTGCTCGGGCCAGTGAAAATCCTGATATCACTTTAGCAAACAGAATCACAAACATCAAACCTGCGAGAGACTCTGTAGCTGGAAGCTACGGACTCTAATCTCAATCCTGTGCTCCTATACATTTCACATTGTTCCTCTTCAAGTTACTTATCCAGCTGCCTTTTACATGTTGTCTTAGTTTCAATAGCCGCAAATTGTGCCTATAATAATAATAATAATCCTTGCATTTGATATTACGCCTTACCACGTCGTTGAGACGTCTCAAAGCGCTTCACAGAATATACTGTAAAGTGAATTGACTGCGTATTTTGCGGGCGAAATCTTCCAGGGTTGTTTAATAAGAATAATTCTTGCATTTGTTACAGCGTCTTTCGCATCGGGAGGACACTTTATAGGATTTACCAGAGTCCACCCACTCCCCCAGCGCATTTGAATGTCTCAGATTCCTTAACAAGGAATCCCGTTAAGAAATAGCCCAGGTTTGAGAAATTACAATGTGTGCTGTGCTGATTATCACTGGTGATAATTAGCACTTGACACTTTACAATTATTCACGCCTCACATGTCAGGGTCACAGGGTGGAAGCTTATTCAATGCTCAAACCCGAACAAGTGGGAAATGCAACACAGCACAACTGATCTCAACTCGCAGTGCACGAATATATCGGGGGTTTGAGGGGAGGGAAGGAGGGTGAGGCGAATCATGGGGTTTAAGGCAACTCCAAAAGTCAGACCAGAGTTGTAACACTCCGCCTCCCATTTTGACATTCATGTGCAGAAAACGGCTGGCGATTTGAGTGAACCCCTTTTTATTTGGCGACAGTTGGGAGCTTGTTTTCTGTTTGATTTGCTTCTCCGCACAGAGATCAAATCCTTTGTGAACCCATGTTTTTGTTAAAACTCTCTGCCACCTCGTGGGAAGGCTGCACCTCGTCAGCCGTTGGTATTCGCTTCACCTTGAACCCCTTCCCGAGGGCACAGGACCTTCCTAAGAGTGTAGAATAGACCGACCGACCCTGGAACCCCGTCATCTCCAGTGTATCTCAAACAGCCACGGCTTAAAGCAACCATTTATTCTCCTCCAAGAAGTCAGATTTCACCACTGATTTAGTTACAAGCATTTATGTAACTAAAGAGAAGTTTAAAATCTGGGTTAGGGTCAAATGGTGCATTCTATGCTGTCTGATCAGAAATAGAGTAAAACTCACATAAGTCACGATCTGTATAAACCGTATGATGGCCTAATTCGCAGATCTGCCCAAGTCCCGTTGAATTTCCTGTAACTGCTGCAAGTTTGATATAACTCATACATCACATAAAAAGTCATATTAAATATACGGTCCCAACTGATACGACTTGTGTGAGGTTTACTCCCTTAAGTTCCTCTTTTAAAAGGAATTTGAATTCACATTTCACCTGCGAACGAATTGTGCTGCTAATTTAGATCTTAACACACACCAAAAAAAAAACCTAGTTGAAAATGTCATAACAACAATAATAATAGTATTATCGACTAGATTGTTAACTTGTTGTGGTCTTGTTTGATGTGCGACACGTCTGTAACTTCTTTTGTGAAATAAAGATTTTGACCTTGGGGCTTTACGCCACGTCATTGAAAGCTGTTCCGTGTGTTTTTTTTAACATTGCTGCAATTCCCAGGGGAATAATTAATTATTGACGTCTCAGCTTGTCTTACTTACCAGGCCCTCCAAGCGCCCGTCAAGCAAGCTGTCACAAAGTGCAGCTGAGCGTGCAAAGCAATAGGTAGATGAGTTATTTAACACTGGCTTTCAATGGCTTATTGTAGAGGGCTCAACTTACGCATCAAGCTCATCAATGCTTCCGCCGTTCGCAGTGTTTCAACCCTTTGTAATTGGCTCTGTGATCAAATGGACTGTGCGCCTGTATTAAGGAATCCGGTTGCCGTGTGTAATGTAACTGTGATATGTTTACTGATTGAAGTGAATCAAAGTGACTGCTCAAAATCATGGTCTGGGTATCATCACTGTGCTGCTCTCTTTCTCTCTCTCCCTCCCTCCTCCCTCTCTCGCTCTTCCTCTCCCTCGGAGTGAGCCATACGTTGGCAATTGCGTTCACAGTCAGAATGACATCTGAGCAGGAGCACTAACCGCCATTAGACAAAGAGTTTTCACTGAAGAGATCTGTTTCCAGTGGAAAATACTCACCTTGGGATTTCCTCCCGCCGTGAAAGGTGGAATACAAATGTAATCTGTCGCTATTGTTGTGCGTCAACCTGGAATAATGGTCGTCAAAGCAATTGTGATGACCGTACCACATTGCTATAATTGGAATAATTACCACTAAACATCAGCGGAAAACAGTAGGGCGGGTATTCTGGAACAGTGAGATGGAAATGAGGCAAAAAGGCCTTCTTCGTTTGCACCTGTTTTGAAAGTGTATTTTGCGTTGGGGGGTGGGGAAAGATTGTCTCCAATTGGGATTCCCACCTCTCCACTCAATAGCAGCAGTAGAATATAGAAATGTTTTACCACAAGTGATTGTGGACTCCACGTCCACTTTAAAGGGAATTGGAGAAATGCTTGATGAAGATTACATTGGAGAATGCAGGGAAAGAGCAGGGAGCAATCTCACTGGGAAGTATTGGGAATGTTGGGAGTTGAGCACATACTTCCAGTAAAGGATGTGTAAACCGCAGACATGATAGGCCGAATGGCCTCCATCTGCAACGTAATAACAATTGAGCAATAATAATCCGCGCCCTGGACGCTGAAACTCCAAATAAAACGCGAGACCTGGCGCTGAACGTTTCCTCACTCTTTCGTTGTCTTCCCTCCGCAGGAAACCGAGGAAGCAGCTCGCTTAGCAAGCCTTCCCGCCTGGAGAAGGGAAATAGTCAAAAAGAAAATGGACGAGGAAAGGTACAACTCTGCCCTGAAACCATGAACACACGCATTTTATGTTCGTTACAATCGAAATGTTTTAAGGTTAATGTTTTCTAATTTTTTTTGTTTTTCCCTCTCCCACCCGTCTCTCTTCTCTTCTCATTCTTCACAGGGAGCAAAGGAGGTGAGTGATCTCTTATTCTATTATCGCTGCTCTGTTTCCAAACCTTTTGAGGCTCTGCGGGTTAAGGAAATCGCCGCATGTGAAATTATGGGTGGAAACAGGGGTGCGAGAAAAGTTTGGTCTCAGTTGGGTTAATAATAATAATAATAGTTGCATTTGAAAAAGCTCCGTATCACGTCGTTGAGATGTCTCAAAGCTCTTCACAGAATATACTGTGAAGTGAATTGACTGTATATTTTTGTGGGCGAAACGTTAAGAAAGAAGGTGGTAAACAAAAATCAGCCAGGGCGAAAGCCCAACCCCATCCGCCTCTTAGATTGTGCCTTTGGTCACCCTCCTCCCCCTACCCTCCCCGTCCTTTCAACCCTCTTGATCCCAACCACCAGCTCGGGTGCAGATCCCTGACTGTCCAGCGCCTTTGGACATCCTCCTGACACGAAAGGAGCTATTACAAAAGTAATTTGTTGTTGTTGTTGTTGTTGTCGTCCTCACTTCACCTCCTCACACACACCAGGGCCTGTGGGATGTAATTAGGACATTAGGAGTCAGGCTCCGCCTGTTAAGTGCTCTGAGATGCTACCCTGCTTGGAGCTCGCTATATAAGTGCACGTTGTTGTTATTATTGTTGTAGTAGGACACCTTGGTTGAGTCTGGGGTCCTTAATACCGTGGCTCCTACCAATCTGTACCTGCATTCGTCAGGCTTGTGTGTACTCTCTCCTGGACTAGCACTGTGATTGTGACTCTTTTTTTCCCCCTCTGGGAATTAGGAAAGAGGAAGAGAGACTGAAGAATGCAGAGGAGGAGAAGGAAAGGCAGCAAACGGAGAAGCTTCGGACCCTGGGCTACGATGAAGCCAAACTGGCCCCTTGGCAACGGCAGCTCATCCTGAAGAAAGGCGACATAGCGAAGGAATAAGAACCCTCTCAAAGCATTCCTCTATCCCTGGTGTAGGGTGATCTGTGCTGTTCAATAGACAGTTTAATTCAAAGGCTGATTACACCACTAAAACTCATAACCCGCAATGTCTTTCCTCCTCTTCGCAGTTTCTATGGAACTCATAAAATGCCAATGCTCCCAATTTTGGGAAGATATCAACTTGTGTGTCCACATTTGCACACAATTCCTGTTCCTCCACTTTCTGAGCATCAATGATAATCTCGGGGTGGACTGAATGCACTCCCAGCCCCTCACTAACATGATGCAGTTTTTTTTTGAACACAAATCTTCCCGCATCCCAAGTCTATGATAGAAAATCACAATGTCACTTGCGATACATCTTTTCATTATTTTCGTCCACAGAATACACTTTCAATTCATTTTACAGTACATCCCGTGAAGCGCTTTGAGACGTCTCGCTGATATTGATAAGGCGCTGGATCAAATGCAAGGATTATTGTTATTGTTATTATTATTATAATACAGGGGAGCGTTGATTAAATCCTTCCAATTGACCCGTATCACATTTCCCAGAGTAAAACATACAGTTGTAAGACAATGTAAACTGGAAATCCTAGCCTCCCTCATCTTCCCTTTTCTCAGTTTTATTATTTTGTGTTATTTTTTTTTAAAAAATGGCTGGAATCGCAACACCATGCAAATGCTCGTTACCTCAAGGAGAGGAGATCCAACATAAGCATTCAAAACGTCACTGAACAGCACAGCTTTGCCGCTCTGTTAGGCTTCTCAACTGCAGTCGCTCACCGGAAATTGCTCGTCTCTGAGCAGAAAACGGCGCAACACACACATAAATCAAATTCAGATTCAAACACAATATGTCCCCTGAATGTTGTACATATTTCAATAAACACCCACTGCTTTTTTTTTTCTACGTGGAGTCTACATCTGTCGCTTTAGCTATCAGTCTGTCTACAGGGACGTGCTTTAGGATGTACACATTTGCAAGACTATTGTAAAGAAATGCTTGTGATTATTTACACACAGCTCACGGAATATGATTATATATATTTTCTTGGATGCCATAACGATGTAACAGAAAGCAGAGGTCAGGCTTTATTTGCCACGAGTTCCTTTCCGTAGATTAGCACTTTATTAAAAGCATCTGAAAACTTTTACATCTTTTTTTGGGGGGGGTGGTGGGGTGGGGAACGGGCAGGCGACCCTGTACAATTAGTAATCTCAGCGGCTATCCTGTACCATCTTGACCATTTAATAAACCACGTAAAAAAAATGTTTCTGACTGTACTTATTTTCGACGAGGATTTTGATTTCGACCAGTTTTGATTTAATTTGTAATACGACCAAGTGGATGTAGTAAAGCCCCCACCCCCACCCCCCCACCACCCTCCAATAAATAATCTTTATTTGTTCAACCTTCAGTAATTCACCTCTGGAGACATTAATCTACACGAGAGGCACTGTCGAAAGGCAAATTGTTTTTTTTGTCATCAACTCTGAACATTTGAGTACTTTGTGTACAATCCACTAAATTGTCAAGAACCTCCTTTGTCAACTAAAAAAAAAAACTATCCGTCTCCGGTCACAAACTTTGCGTCCTCAGGGCAACGCGGCTTCGAATGATGCCTTCGGTCCCCTTGGAACCGCAAAGAAGCGGCTCGGCCCGTTTTGACCCAAACTCTCCCAACCACACAGAACACGATCAAACGACGCAGCGAACACGGTCAGAACTGAGATGGATAGAGCATCGATAATAATAATAATAATAATAATAATAATAACAAGGTCTGGTCTGTGACCGGCATCTGCGGTTTTAACTGTTTTAACTCGGAATAACAACAAAACTTTGCATTTATATAGATACAACAACAACAAGATTGCATTTATAGAGCTGCTTTCTCTTGAGAGGACGTCTCAAGGCACTGGACAGTGGGGTCGGGACCCGAGCATTGGGGGGGGAAATGGGGAGGGGAGCGGAGGGAAGGGAGCGAGGAGGGGGTAGAGAGAGTTGAGAGCGGAGCTGAAGATACCGTCTTGAGACCGGCCTCGAAGGAGGAAAGGGAGGAAGCGAAGGCACCGGGGGATGGAGTGCCAGAGCCTCGGGGCTGATAATAATAATAATAATCCTTGCATTTGATATAGCGCTTCACAGAACACACTGTAAAGTGAATTGACTGTATATTTGTGGGCGAACGCGGCAGCCAATTGCGCACAGCAATGTCCCACAGACAGTCGTAGATTGAAAATGACCAATTTATTATTGTTTGTGGTTTTGGAGGGATTATTATTAGGCTCTGTGTGGAGTAAGGAAACTTGCCCGAGGTTTCGCCCTCTGCCTGGAATTGAACTCAGGTCTCTCACTTGCAAAGCGAGTGCTCTAACCACTGAGCTACAGAACTCCACTGATAGACGCCCTTCACACCGGGAAGCCTCCGGGAGCTCCTCAACGGGAGGGTGGAGGGGGGTCAGAGCCTCAGCGCGACGTGGGGGGGACGGTTCTGTCTTTAGTTTGTACTCCAGGGGAGAGCGCGAACGCAGTCCCCCACTACCACAAATTTTGCAGTCGAGTATCCCGCATTTGGGGACATCGCAGGCGTCAGCACACCCGAAGTGCAATGGGTTAGCCTCGTCCTGGGAGAACCACCTTCATGATCATGGTGTCTCCCCTGCCAGGTAAGTATGCTTAACTGGGGCTCATCCACGCCGGCTCACTCCTCGCTCCACCTCTCACGTCTACACTGCCTCTCTCCTTTTTTTTTAGTCCCCTCCTCCTCTCTCACTCCTCTTCTTTCTTTCAATCAACCGAAAAACCCTTTCGCCGCGTTTCCTACTTTTACCCGTTTCTTCTTCTTTTTTTTTAAAAAAAAACACGAAAGGTCATGATGTCGGTCTGAAGCGGCTTTGCTTTTTTTTTAAAAAAAAAAGGTCTATAAGAGAAGAACTCATTTGCATTTTGGGGCCATAAGAGGAAGGCGACCGATGCTGACGTCACCGCCTCCAGCAGCGCCAGATGTGTTCCTGCGGCGCGGCGCCCCCTATCGACCAAGACGCCGACATTACACTTGTACACCTCCTCCCCACCTCAGGCACCGTCCACGGTTGCACACTCCGCCAGTCCGGAGCTTTGTGGTCTTGTTTGACTCTTAATAATAATAATCACAATAGTAATGTGAAGCGCTTTGAGACGTCGAGAAGACGTGAAAAGCGCTTTATCAAATGCAAGGACTATTATTATTATTATTATTATTATTATAATCCTCGCATTTGATAGAGCGCCTTATCATGTCTTCGAGGCGTCTCAAAGCGCTTCGCAGAATATGCTGCAAACAACAGCAGCAAAATTACATTTGTATGGTGCCTTTCACGTCATTTGTGTGGGACGTCCCAAGGCGCTGGACAGTCAGTGTTTCGGGCCTGAGCTGGGGGTCGGGACTTGGGGAGGGTGGAGGACAGAGAAGGAAGGAAGGCTCCGACACTGTCTCATGCTGTAGGCCACCGACCCTCATACACGCATTCATTACATCGAGGCTTGACTAAGCAAACTCACTGCTTGTCGGCCTCCCCAACTCCTCCCTCCACAGATCATCCAGAACTCTGCAGCCCGTGTCCTCTCCGGCACTTGGCTCCGTGATCCTATCACTCTCATCCTCTCCCAACTCCACTGGCTTCCCATCACACAGAGGATACAGTTCAAGTTCCTCGTCCTCTCCTTTAAGGCCATCCATAGCCTTTCTCGCTCCTACCTCTCTGATCTCCTGACTCCCTACCAACCTGCCCGCTCCCTCCGTTCATCAGGCTCCAGCCTGCTCCATGTCTCCTGCCCGACCCGCCCTACCATTAGTGGTCGGGCTTTCAGCCTCTCTGCGCCCACACGCTGGAACACCATCCCACGATTGCTTCGCTTCCTCCCGCGCCTCCTTCAAGGCCGGTCTCAAGACCCTTCTCTTCGACCGTGCCTTTGGTCTCCTTCCCACCTCTCTGCCTTCCCCCCACCCCCTCCCCTATGCTCGAGCCCCGACACCTCACTTTGGGAAGTCCTCCTGATGTGAAAGGCGCCCTCCATAAATGTAATTGTGTTGTTGTTGATGTTGGCCCTCACCTTCGAAGCCCTGTACGGCTTTGCTCCCCACTACCCTCTCCGAACTCCCAACCCCCCTTACCACCCGGTTCGCTCCCTCCGCTCAGCGTGGTCCAGCCTGCTTCACGTGCCTCGCCTTGCTCTCGCCCCATCACCGGCGGGGGGGGGTGGGGGAGAGCCTTCCGCCACTCCGCACCCACACACTGGAACCCTCTCCCGCAGGGTCCGTCTCAACCCCTCCCTCACCCTCTTCACCACGCGCTTTGTTCGGATCTCTCTACTTCTCCACCTCAGGTCCTGAACTCTGGTCTTCCCAACGCCTCGGGACATCCTCCTGACATGAACAACAACAACAAGATTCCATTTATAGAGCGCCTTTCACGTCGGGAGGACGTCCCGAGGCGCTGGACAGTGGGGAGGACGTCCCAAGGCGCTGGACAGTGGGGGGGACGTCCCAAGGAGCTGGACAGTGGGGAGGACGTCCCAAGGCGCTGGACAGTGGGGAGGATAGTGGGGAGGACGTCCCAAGGCGCTGGACAGTGGGGGTCGGACCCGAACATTGAGTGGGGGAGAGATGGTCAGGGGGTCAGGGTGAGGAGAGGGAAAGGGAGGGGGCGAGGAGGGGGTAGAGGGAGTTGAGAGAGGAGCCGAGGTCTCCAGACCGGCCTCGAAGGAGGAAAGGGAGGAAGCGAAGGCACCGGGGGATGGAGTGCCAGAGCCTCGGGGCTGATAGACGCCCTTCACACCGGGAAGCCTCCGGGAGCTCCTCGACGGGTGGGTGAAGGGGGTCAGAGCCTCAGCGCGATGGGATGGTTCTGTCTTTAGTTTGTACTCCAGGGGAGAGCGCGAACGCAGTCCCCCACTACCACAAATTTTGCAGTCGAGTATCCCGCATTTGGGGACATCGCAGGCGTCAGCACACCCGAAGTGCAATGGGTTAGCCTCGTCCTGGGAGAACCACCTTCATGATCATGGTGTCTCCCCTGCCAGGTAAGTATGCTTAACTGGGGCTCATCCACGCCGGCTCACTCCCCGCTCCACCCCTCACGGCTACCATGCATCTCTCCTTTATTTTTTTCCCTCTTTTCTTTCGATCAGCCCCAACACCCCTTTCTCGACCTTTCCTGCTCTCACCCGTGTGCGCGGGTGTGCGTTTTTGTTTTTGAAGCGAAGCGTTCGGTCCTGAACGAAGCGGCTTCTGTTTTTTAAAAAAATAACATCTAATTTGCATGTCGGCCGTAAAAGGGACGCGACCGACGTCGACGTCACCTTTTTTTTTCCTCTCCGAAAGCACAGCGCCCTCTAACGACCGAGGCACCGACGTCACACATGTGCAGCGCTCCTCCTCCTCCTCCTCACCGAGGACGTCCCAAGGCGCTGTACAGTGGGGAGGACGTCCCAAGGCGCTGGACAGTGGGGAGGACGTCCCAAGGCGCTGGACAGTGGGGAGGACGTCCTCCGATGCGCTGAGCGCATCGCCATCCACAGCTGCGCGGAGGCTCCGCCCTCCCTCGCTCTGCCCGTCTGGAGCTTTGGGGGTCTCGTTTGATCCTCAACTGTACTTTGGAGCCCACGTCCGCGCCACGACCCGCTCTGCCTTCCCCCCCGCCCCCCACCCCCGGCCCCACTGAAACCCTCACACGCGCCTTCACTGCGCCCGGGCTCGACTACGCAAACTAAGCTGCTGGTCGGCCTCCCCGACCCCTCCCTCCCTCCCGCCCTCCGCAGGCTGCAGGTCATCCGGAACTCCGCAGCCCGTGTCCCTCTCCCGCACCGGGGCTCCGCGACCCTACCGTCCCCCCCCCCGCGCCCGACTCCACCGGCGCCCCATCACACCAGAGGATACGGTTCAAGATCCTGGTCACCTTCAAAGCCCTCTCCGGTCTTGCTCTCCCCCCCCCCCCCCCACCACCCCTTACCTTTCCGAACTCTAAGCCGCCCCCTACCCTCCCTACCGCCGTTTGCTCCCTCCACTCAGCGGGCTCCGGGCCCGCTTCACGTCCCCCCCCACCACCACCCACCCGCCCCGCCCTCCCTCCTCGCCCGCCCACTGTCCCCCCCCCACCACCACCCACCCCGCCCCGCCCTCCCTCCTCGCCCGCCCCACTATAGCCTTCCGTATCCCAGTCTGCACCCAAAACCGTGCAACTCCATCCCACAGCGCCGCACCTCCATCCCACCGCCTTCCAGACCGGACCCCCCCCTCACCTTCCAGACATTGCCCCTCACCTTCCAGACCGGAGCCCCCTCTACCTTCCAGACCGGACCCCCCCTCACCTTCCAGACCAGACCCCCCTCACCTTCAGACATCCCCCCCCTCACCTTCCAGACCGGATCCCCCCTCACCTTCCAGACCGGACCCCCCTCCACTTTCCAGACATCCCCCCCCTCACCTTCCAGACATCCCCCACCTCACCTTCCAGACATCCCCCACCTCACCTTCCAGACCGGACACCCCCACCCTCCACCTTCCAGACCCTCTTCTTTCAACCTGTGCTTTCCACCTCTCCCCCAACCCAACCCAACCCCGTAACGCTACCCCTCCAGTGCCTCTCCTGGCTGGAAACACCTCCCATTAGCCTTTCAACGAGGAGGAGGGGTGGGGGGGGGGCGCAAAGCCTCAGCACAATGGCGATGGTTCTGTCTTTAGTTTGTACTCCAGGGGAGAGCGCGAACGCAGTCCCCCACTACCACAAATTTTGCAGTCGAGTATCCCGCATTTGGGGACATCGCAGGCGTCAGCACACCCGAAGTGCAATGGGTTAGCCTCGTCCTGGGAGAACCACCTTCATGATCATGGTGTCTCCCCTGCCAGGTAAGTATGCTTAACTGGGGCTCATCCACGCCGGCTCACTCCCCGCTCCACCCCTCACGGCTACCATGCATCTCTCCTTTTTTGTTCTCCTTTTTCCGCTCTTTTCTTTCTTTCGATCAGCCCAAACCCCTTTCTCGACGTTTCCCGCTTTTATCGATCCGCTGGTTGGTTTTTTTTTTAAAAAAATGACATTTTTAAAAAAATATATATAGAGATGTAAAACGAGAACTCATTTGCATTTTGGCCGTAAAAGGAATGCGACCGAAGTACGACGTCATCGCCTCCAGCAGCGCCAGATGTGTTCCTGCGGCGCGGCGCAGCGCCCCCTATCGACCAAGACGCCGACATTACACCTGCAGGTCTCTGTATGTATATATACACAGAAGATATCCTGTCCTCCTGTTCCTGAATAGTCTCATTGAAATGCTCTCCAGAGAGAGTCCTTGTGGTCCTTGTGCCACATTTGGACGTTCTGTTCCTGGGCTCGTCTCCAACGCCACCCTGAAGAATCTCCCTTCCCCGACTGATTTGTGATGCTTTGTCGACCACCTCCCCTTACGGCCAGTCGTTTGGTTGCTATCATCATCATCATAATAATAATAATCCTGGCATTTGATACAGCGCTTTTTGCACGTCTTCCAGACGTCTCGAAGCGCTTCACAGTATATACTGTAAAGTGAATTGACTGTATATTTGTGGGCGAACGCGGCAGCCAATTGCGCACAGCAATGTCCCACAAACAGTCGTAGATTGAAAATGACCAATTTATTATTGTTTTTGGTTTTGGAGGGATTATTATTAGGCTCTGTGTGGAGTAAGGAAACTTGCCCAAGGTTTGGCCCTCTGCCTGGAATTGAACTCAGGTCTCTCACTTGCAAAGTGAGTGCTCTAACCACTGAGCTACAGGACTCCATTACGCAGCAATCAGCAAAATGTGAATACGGCACCACCAACTTTTACATTGCTCACGTGCAGTGCAACACATTTTGCAAAAGAGCAAACCACATCGAAACGAACAGCGCTTTTGTGAGCCTCTCCCAGCAGCTGTGAAACTTCCTTTGGCTGTAACCAAATTATCAGCCTGACCTCGCAGACTTGCAAATGACACACCGCAGAAACGGTTAAAGGGGTAATTTAATGCTCTCTTGCAGCAAACAATCATCAAAAAGGAAATTACAATCGTCACATCACATTTTCATCCTATGTTATCAAACGGGAGAAATAAATCCGAAAAGATCAATTCCTCGCAATGAATTGGAATGTTTTCAGTGACACTCAGACAAGCGACTCAACAGATACGGTCTTGGTCATAGACTACAGAATAAAACGTTCAAGAAAGGAATGGTAACGGGACTCTGTTTGAAAAAAAAACACACCATCATCCATACTGTCGATGAGAGATAAAAATACAACAACAACTTGGATTTATATAGCGCCTTCCACGCCGGACGGCATCTCGGAGCGCTTTACAGTAACGGATCCCGGCGCCGCATTAAAATTAAACATTCTTGTTGTCACATCTGCTGCCATCTGCCAAGTGGACTTTGTGGGCAGAATTTCTAAGAGAATTGTCCTGTGACATAAATCTGCCTCAAAAGTCCCAACCGAGGTCTGCCTTGACCTAAAATCCCCTAAATCAGGGATGGTCAAAATTTCACCTAGTCTTGCTTTTTTTAAAAAAAACCTGTTTTGTCTTAAAATTTAGGGTTATATTAAATGAAGAGATTATTTTTTGAGTAAATAATCAATAATAATCATCATCATTATTATTCTAGTAAACTGTGAGGAGCAGTGTCATTTTTAGCTTAATCAAATAACATTCAAATTTTAATAAAAGATATTTCTACATCATTTTCTTTTATTGTTAAAATCGAATGATTCATTTGAACCCCAAACGTGTTGTGATTTAATTGCCGATTAAAGCCACCCTTTCCCTCTCATTCCAGATGCCCACTGATATCTTGTTTTATACTCCCTCCTCATCCAAATTCAGATTGCCTACTGGTCTAATTGTTTGTGATATTACGTTGAAGCAGATTACCTAACAGGTTCAGCTTTATAATATTCACCTGCGTTTCTAATTAATCTCATTCTGCAAAGCTCTTTGTGAGGCTTTCTGCAAATCAATAGCGCTGTAAAATGCAAGACAAGCCATGGTTTAATCAAATGGCAGATCAAACTTGAAGGCTGAAGAGCCTACTCCTGTTCCTGTATTCCCTATGTTCCCATGTTGTTGTTTTGAGGTAATGCTGGTCTAAAAACTAATTTAAAAATGTCCACATGATTTGCGTCAATTGATTTTAACATTGTGGAAAGCAAACACCCGAAAGCGGAATAATTGGCAGCGGGCTTGCAATTTAAAGATTAGTCATTATTGGTCAGATTGATCATTCCTACCAATAACATATTTTGCGTTTGAGAAGCTCAAGAGGTTAAGGAAGATCAAGTAAGTTGTGTTGCTTGTACAACTCTTCGGTGATGTCAAAGACCTTTGAAAGAAAGGGCAGAGCTACTCCCAGTTTAGCCACCGCCTCTTCCGTTGTTCCCATATTCATAGCTTCAAAGAAGGCGACTCGCGTTGGGAGCGCATAGAAGGCTACTGTGGCAGCTTTACGCACAATCCAGGTGTGGTGACAAGCCAGCGAGTCATTGTAGGCCTCAGTGCAGAGCACCGAGGTTTTGCTATCTTCCGAAGCTATCTGCAGCTTTTCCAAGAAGAGTTGCAGCCACCGCAGCACGCGGTGCAGCCGGAGTATTGTCCGACAGCCCGAGTCCCAGTTCTCACTCCGCTGCACCAAATCCACCAGCTTGTTCTCCATCTCGTACTTGACCATCGACTGCAGGGTCAAGTATTGCTGACTGAACTCCCCAATCCTGTAGTTTTCCATGATCTGGATTTTGCCAACCGCGTCCTTCGATATGAAGGAAAAGACGGACCCCAGACTGTTCATGAACCTAAGAGCAAGAAATGTAACAATACTTTAGTAATTCATACCGCAAGGCTTGTTAAGAAAAGTTACGATCAATAAAATTGAACTCGCAACTACTTCTGGGTATATTTGGGGAAAAAATGGCTAATTTAGGGTATTTCCACTGGAACATAGTAAGGGCAAACAAGTTTGTAAGGCCCAAAGGGACACAAAATAGAGAAAAAGTATTTCCTTCAGTGGGAGAAAATCAGTAATACTCAACGACAATAGCTACAGAACTAACAGAGAAGTTAGGAACCATCTTCACTCAGAGGAGTGTGAGGGCGTGGAATTTTTAATTCACAAAGTGGCTATTGTAAAGCTGGGTGAATAAATCCATTGAATACAGAAGCGTATTGTACGTTTACAATACCCGAGAACGTGGGAAAACAGCATTAGTTGTGGAAAAAAAAGGCAACTTGATAACAGAAGACACAATGGGTTGAACGGTTTAACAGTCTCTACATTTCCCTCGGGCTTCAGCAAAACATCTCTTTTACGTTACTTTGGTAGACCACAACAGTAAGCCTCTCCTGTATTTCTCCCCCCCCACTCCCCGCCCACCATTTTAAACAAAAGTGCAAGTTATAATAAGAATAAGAAGAATCCTGGCATTTGATACATGTCTTCGAGACGTCTCAAAGCGCTTCACCGGCTACACCGTGACGTCCAGTGCCTTGGAGATGTCCGCCCGACGTGAAAGGCGCTGCCCAAGTGCAAATGTTGTTGTTGTATATCTTGTGGTCGAAGCCAATTGCGCCCAACGTAGCAACTTTCAACACAGACTCCTGACGGGGTTGGACCTTTGGCACCGACCTGAGTGGCATTGCATCACTCAACAGATACAGCAGATACAACTGCAACATAGGTTAAAGGTATTTTCCTCCCTTCTACCCTTTGCTTCCTTCCTTTCCTCTTTCTCTCCCCTTTCCCCCCCCCCTCTCCCCCCCTCCCTCTCCCCTTTCCCCCTCTCTCCCCTTTCCCTCTCTCTCTCTCTCCCTCTCCCCTTTCCCTCTCTCTCCCCTTCTCTCCCCCCCTCTCTCCCCTCTCCCTCTCCCCAGAGGCAGCTCACTTGATTAAGCCCTTCCAGCCATTGAGGTAGTGCTCCAGCAGGATGTCCCCCTGGTCAGTCAGACAGGTCCGGAAGGAGTCCAACACCTCAGTCAGACTGAACCTCTGGGTCTCTGCCATCTTCAGCTGCTCCCTGAGCCCTGACCCGCGGCCCCGCCTCCCGCCTCCGCGCCGCTGCCATTGGCCCCGCCCTCCGCGCTCTCCCATTGGCTCCCGCTCCAGCCCTCCGCGCTCTCCCATTGGCTCCCGCTCCAGCCCTCCGCGCTCTCCATTGGCCTCGCTCTCCGCGCTCTCCCATTGGCTCCCGCTCCAGCCCTCCGCGCTCTCCCATTGGCCCCACCCTCCGCGCTCTCCCATTGGCCCCACCCTCCGCGCTCTCCCATTGGCCCCGCCCTCCGCGCTCTCCCATTGGCCTCGCCCTCCGCGCTCTCCCATTGGCTCCTGCTCCAGCGCTCCGCGCTCTCCCATTGGCTCCTGGGGCCGTCAATCAGGTGCCGGCCATCCCTTTCCGGTGTGTCTGGTCGCTGCTGGAGGAGAGGTGTTGGGTCTGGAGCTGCACAGGTCGGTTGGGGGGAAGGGGGGGGTTTGCGCGGCCTCGGGTGTTTGGGGTTGTGGGGGGGATGGGGTTGTGGGGGGATGGGGTTGTGGGGGGGATGGGGTTGTGGGGGGGATGGGGTTGTGGGGGGCGATGGGGTTGTGGGGGGGATGGGGTTGTGGGGGGGATGGGGTTGTGGGGGGGGATGGGGTTGTGGGGGGGATGGGGTTGTGGGGGGGGGATGGGGTTGTGGGGGGATGGGGTTGTGGGGGGCGATGGGGTTGTGGGGGGGATGGGGTTGTGGGGGGCGATGGGGTTGTGGGGGGGGATGGGGTGGTTGTGGGGGGGGATGGGGTTGTGGGGGGGATGGGGTTGTGGGGGGGCGATGGGGTTGTGGGGGGGATGGGTTGGATGGGGATGGGGTGGGGGTCTGTGTGGGGATATCAGACTGAGGCCTATCAGTAACTGTCAGCTCAGTGGGAGCACAACAACAACAACAACAATAATAATAATTCTAACAATAATAATCCTGTTTTTTGACCCATCGCCTGATCACAGCTTAGAGACATCTCAAAGCCCTTTGCGGGATACAGTGTCATGTGTAGTGACTGTGTATTTGGTGGACGAAACCCGGCAGCCAATTGGGCCCAGCGGCGTGTCCCCCGCCAACAGTCGTGGATTGAAGTGACCGAATTTTTTGGGGGGGAGAGGGGGGGGTTGTTATTCCAGGAAAAGCCATCCGCCAATCGACTGGTCTCGAGATGACACTGCAGTGCGGCGCTGAGAGCTGCGTTGGCATTGTCGGAGGTGCCGCCCCGTCCTTCGGATGAGACATTTAAACCGAGTTCCCCGTCTGCGCCCTGTTCGGGTGGAGGGCACCGAAGATCCCGTCGCAACAGCAACAACGACAACTTGCCTTTACGTAGCCCCCCCCCCGTCCCAGAGCAGTTGAATAACGTGGTATTATTCCGAAACAGAAGGGAATTTCTCTCTGCCAGTGCATCGTCTGGCCAACAAATCCCTCCCAGCACCCAGCAAATAAAACTGCGTCACTCCCTCCGTGGCTGTTTGTGGGTCATTGCTATGATTAAAACTCGCACACAGAATACACAGTCACTGCACTACAGCATATCCTGTGAAGCGCTTCAAGATGTCACGATGACGTGATAAGGTGCTATGTCAAATGAAAGGATTATTATTATCAAAAATATCAAATGATGCTGCTTTATACTCGTTGTTTATTCGTGTTATTTTTCCTGACGTTTGCCTCTTTTTACATTAGCAGATGTCCTAAATCCGGGAATTCGCGTCCAAATAGGGCAACTCATTCCATCATCGAATAGTAATCATGAAGAAAACCTTGTGCTGAAAATGCCTGAAATAAAAGTTACACCTTTGGGTAAGAATTAATGCATTAGATTGGTCTTAAAGTATGTAATGACAAGCTTTGCCGAATGTTAAGTTGTGACTTGTTGTTTTAGGGGCTGGCCAGGATGTTGGCCGTAGCTGCATCCTAGTCACGATAGGCGGAAAAAATGTGATGCTGGATTGTGGGATGCACATGGGATTTAATGACGACGTAAGTAAATTTGCTTATTGATTTGGCAGAAAGGAGTCTTAAACTGATGCAATGTTAAGAAGTAGAAAATAACTATATTATACGGTATTGGGAGTGCACAATGGGATTGGAGGAGATACTTTATGGTGATACAAATAGTAAAGCATCCTTGATATGGGAGGTGGGGGGAAGAGAAGTTACTGGGTAGCAATAATTCTGTAGATTTTTTTCCTACCATGTTGTTTTTTTTAAATGCTGTCTCTTCAAAATATATATAGTCACAACCTGAATGAAAGAAAGCGGCAGTTTTCTAGTTCTGTGTAGATCCAAATATCCCAAAGAGCTTTCAGTAACTATCGTTAAATGCAGCGACACCAAGTAATCTTGAGGATGGTTGGGCAGGACATGGGGATAAGCCCCTTTCTCTTTTTGAATCGTGTCATGGGTCTTTAAAGTCCAGGCAAACAAGACATTGGTTTAACATCTCATCCGAGGGAAAGCACCGTTGACATTGCAGTGCCAGTCCAGTACTTGCAGTGTCAGTCTAGATTGAAGTTATCATTATCAAATGATTTTTCTAAAAATTGCGTAAATGTCTGAGCATCGGACCGGATTCTGCACGTCTTTTCTCTGTCTTTACGGTTTTCCGGGGATCTGTTGTCTAAAAATATTTGTGTGTCTTTTTTACAGCGACGTTTTCCTGACTTCTCTTACGTCACTCAGAATGGAAGGCTGACCGAATTTGTCGACTGTGTCATTATCAGGTATATTCCGACCTTAAATCCTGTGTTCCAATTCCGCGAACCTTTCCTCTCCGGTTTCGAGCCCCTCACGCTCCTTCTCACAGCTGAATGGCGAGCTATTCATGTGTGCGCAGCAATACGGAAGGAAGTAGTCAACAATAACAGCAGCTATCATGCACAGCATAGGTCTTGAAGCATTTAACAATTATAAAGGGGAGGATTAAGACCGAGTCTTTGTCTCTGTCAAGGTAGTACAGTCTCGGTTGCTTAATTAAGCTGTTATACTCTGATGTGCGCTTATAAAAAGCGGACACTTCATGTAACAGTAATTCTTCCTGAAATGCTTTGAGATATTTGAAGGTGGTAAAGTGCTGCAAAAGTGAACAATTCTAGTGGCTTTTTTAAATAAAAAGCAAAGTTATACTGTTTGAAATATTTTATCCCTTGTTCCCGTCAGTCATTTCCATCTGGACCACTGCGGTGCTCTCCCTTACATGAGCGAGATGATTGGCTTTGATGGTCCTATATACATGACTCACCCAACAAAAGCCATTTGCCCCATTCTCCTAGAAGATTACAGGAAGATTACAGTCGATAAGAAAGGGGAGACCAATTTCTTTACTTCTCAGATGATAAAAGACTGCATGAAGAAAGTTGTGGCCGTCAACCTACATCAGACAGTACAGGTAAGGGAGATACCACACCATCGCCCGTGATCCTGAAATCCCTGACTTTGGGGTGTGCCAATCTGCCCCAGGCAACACACCAATAAACTGGAGAAAAAACAGTTTCAGGAAGACTTGTTTCGAACAGTGTCGATATCCGTTCCCGGATACAATCCACAGACCACACTGTCCCAGTCGATCGTTGTGCAATAGTATTTTAATCGCTGTGATTTACGTCATGCTGATTAATAATGGGAAGAGCTTTGAAAGATCTTGACATGATAAGGAGCTATTAAAATTTCTTTTTTTTTCATTCTGATCGGCGGTTCTGAAACCTTCCTTCCAGGTGGATGATGAACTGGAAATTAAAGCTTATTATGCTGGCCACGTGCTGGGTGCGGGAATGTTCCACATCCGTGTGGGCTCCGAGTCGGTGGTGTACACTGTGAGTACCAACCAGCCACAACCATTTGTTTCAAGAGAGCAGTGCCAATCAAGTGTTAAATGGTGTGAACCTGTAATGTGAGAAGGCACTGAATAAAATGCAAGGCTTATTGTTTTAAGAGCCAAAATAGCCAAATGACGTTTTCTAGTTATTTACCATTCCTGTTCCCTGCTTTCATTTCTTTCTCCTGATTTTTAATGTCCGCAGGGTGATTACAACATGACACCGGACAGACATTTAGGGTGAGTTTTATCAGTTTTTGCCTTCGGATTGCGATCTGCGACAATACTTGATGTTTCTATTCTGATGTGGCCGAACACAGCTTTGTAATGTATAGCGAGAGGTGGAGAATGTCGGTGGGGATAATGCTTTGTGCGGTTCACTGTTACGGCAGAGTTGTGCCTACAGTTCACCCAGAGATTTCTTATGATGAAATCACACACGCCCTCAGTCCTACCCTCATTGGTGGAATGCACAACTATGCTCTGTACAATCCCAAATGATGCTAGAAACAACTGTCTTTCTTGAAATCATTGCTGATCTATTCATCCTCGATTCTGACTGAGAAGCAACACAAGAGTTTTCTGGTTCACAGGCAAGTGATTCTTGTCTATAATACGTAGCTCGTGGGGCCAGATCCCTTCATCCTTTTCTCCCCAAAGTTCAGAGATTGAACTTGAAAGATATGGGTGACTGCCACTGCGTTGTGCTTTCAAGCAAGCGCTGGAACATTTTCAGTGTTGAAGAGTCATTTATTATTAAAGCCTAGATGTGTCCAGTGGTGCGCAAAATGTGGAGTCATTCACTGAACTGAAAGCCACTTGATTTTAGTTCATCTGAAGCTCTTTATTTGCCTCGCGGATAAGAGGAATGTCAGCAAAACAGGGCAGAAGAGTGGAGTTTTTTTTTCTTAGTATTGTGATTACAGTTGTTTCAATAATACTCTTGTACAATGGCAAGCTTGCAGCATGCAATCAAATGCACCGGGAATTAATTTGCTTGAAGGGTATTAAATTAATTATGTGACCACTTTAATCAAATACACCCAAACACATAGTGCACACATGGCTTAGAATTGAGCCTCAGGGTCTCTGAAGGAATAAATAAATCATACAGAGGTTGGCAGCAGTTTGCAGGGCTGGGAAATGAACATTTTATAGGTATTTATTTTAAAAGCCACATAAATATCTACTGTCTTTCTCCCCTCATCCCTTCCTGAAGGTGGTTTTATCTGCTCCTAATACTTTCCAGAATTAGATAAGCAAGATGCATCCCTCCAGGGAGAGAGAGTGCGCATTCCATTCCAACAATCCCATCTCTGGAATGTCTATATAGGTGGGATGCATGGAAATCTCAGCTTGATTGAGACGCTGATGGGTTTCCGCATGTGTCAGACACCCGGCTGGCCAAAAAAAAATCAATTCCTCACGCTGTGAGCATTGATAGTAAGTCTCATCACCATTGTATAAGGGGAGTGGGCAAAAGTTTCATCAATACTGAGGTCTCAAGGTTCGTACAGTCTCCATTTTGTTTCTTAATGTCAAATAATCACCTTTGATTGGAGCTTATTGTGTTTTAACCTGTCCAAGGATGGATTTGCCAGAAATAATTTTTTGAAAGTAAATTGTAAATATTTAATCTTACAACACACACAAAATACTTCCAGTACTGTGATGTGTAGATGCCCAGTCTTAATTTCAGTCGAAAATGCTTATGTAATAAGTAATACCACTTGAACCCGTATAGGATTCCTAAAAAGACACTGAATACTTGTGATTCGAAATGATGTTACTATATATCATGGACCGGCTTCAAGAAGAGATCCAGGAGCTCGATATATATTTCCTTTGCATCAGATAAGCCAGGTCACCATCGAACTCATATTTGATTAGAGTTTTGTACCTCAGTGTTGAGAGCACTCGCCTCGCAAGCGAGAGACCTGGGTTCGATTCCCGGCAGGGCACAACTTTGGGCAAGTCTCCTTACTCCACACGCTTCTGTTTACCTAGCAGTAAGTAGGAACCCGGTTGTTCATTGATTGGCAGATTGCTTTTCCAGGGGTAATAAAACCCTTCCAAAAAAAAAATAACAATAATAAATTGGTCACTCAATCCACGACTCTTTGTGGGACACTGCTGTGCGCAATTGGCTGCCGCGTTTCGCACACAAAATCTACAGTCAATTCACTTTACAGCATATTCTGTGTAACGCTTTGAGATGTTTCGAAGACGTGAAAAGGTTCTATTTCAAATGCAAGGATTGTTATTATTATTGGGGTCGACAACCCAACCCATGCATCATGGTGTTGAAATTGAACTTCATTGGATGCATGTAATGAAGACAAGAAGTTTGATGTTACGAACTACTTGAGCACAAATGTTTTTGTAATGTGCCAGAATAATTCTAAAAGGAATTTAAAGCATGTCCCTCCCCTTGGTTCAGAGCTGCTTGGATCGACAAGTGTCGTCCCGATTTGTTCATCTCGGAGTCCACCTACGCCACCACAATCCGAGACTCGAAACGATGCAGAGAAAGAGACTTTCTCAAGAAGGTGCATGACGCCATTGAGAAAGGTGGAAAGGTAAGATGTTGGACGTGTCGCTGCGGGAATAGTAGCGTAACCTCTTTGACCGCGCTTTCAGTCATCGTTCCCCTCCCCAATTCCCTCGGTTTCCCACCCATAGCTCTGGTCCCCGAGGTTGTCATAAGTGAAAATTATATTGTAAAGTGAAATGTTGCTCAAATTTCGTGGGGCAGAACAATTCCCAGTGTGTGTTACTAGATCAAAATCTGATTCCCCATCACTTAGGTAAATGGGTTTTCTTCAATGGAGCAAGCCAATAAACATTTTAAAGCTTAAATGGAGTGTGTAACCTTAACTGAGATTTCTTTCATCTCTGTAATAGGAATATTTTCTAATTGACCAGTATTGCAACTAAAGTTTAGTTTAGTGAGTAGTTATTGTATAAGCGCTCTGAGATGCTACCCCGCATGAAGAGTGCTATATAAACACAAGTTATTGTTGTACTTTTTTTTTTAGCTTTGTCTTTCTTAAGGCTTTTGACAACATTGCAGCCACCGACGAACTCATTCTAACAAGTTTACATTTCAACAGGTGTTGATTCCTGTCTTTGCCCTCGGACGGGCCCAGGAGCTTTGCATTCTGCTGGAAACCTTCTGGTAATTTTGTTTGCTCTTACCAACACAGGCTGACCCAGTTTAAACAAATTACTTTTACTTCCACTGCTCCTCAGTCTGTGTGTTAACTGGCCTACTTTGCGAAACTCCGAAATGCACAAGCCCTGAATCGCTTTACCTTTTCTTACTTTTATTGTGACTTCCTGATTTGGGTTTGCACCTACTGTGTAGGATGTGACATGCACCTCATTCGAGCTGCCTCGTGATAGATTTGGGGTTTTGCTTTCGCCCATAGTGCCATTTGACGAAGCTTTCGAACCAACTGTTGCAGCTTTCACAAGATCACAAGCGACTTTTGAGTGCAGAGGGTCCTTCAATCATCCTTGCAGAATATCCCACCTGCCCTTGCTCCTATTATGGCAATACTCTTAAGAGTATTCCAAAGAGTTTCTTAAGAGTCCCAGTTTTCTGGCCTCAACCTTCCTTCCTGGCATGAATTATGATGAATCTGTTCCAGACTTTAATCACAACAACAACAAGATTGCATTTATAGAGCGCCTTTCACGTCGGGAGGATGCTCCAAGGCGCTGGACAGTTGGGTCGGGACCCGAGCATTGGGGGGAAATGGTCAGGGTGAAGTGAGGGAAGAGAGGGAGCGAGGAGGGGTAGAGAGTCGAGAGAGGAGCTGAAGGCACGGTTGAAGAGAAAGGTCTTGAGACCGTCCCTGAAGGAGGAAAGGGAGGAAGCAAGGCGAAGGCACTGGGGGATGGGATGGAGTTCCAGAGCCTCGGGGCTGAGAGGCTGATGTGGTCGCGAAGCCTGGTGCGGGACAGCACACGAGCTGCAGAGTTCTGAATGACCTGCAGCTTGTGGAGGGAGGTGCCGGGAAGGCCGATGAGGAGAGAGTTCCCGTAGTCCAGCCTTGAGGTGATAATTACCCTCTGAGTAAAGGAGTACTTTACTGATATCTGAGATTGCTCTTCACAAACTGTGTCCTCTTGCCCCACTACCTGGATCTGGGTTCTGGCTTAATTTTTATAATCAATTAAGCATCTTGTTTGCCTTCATAAGGTCCGTTCAGAGATGTATCTTGTCACGACCGAATGAGGCCACGAGCTGCAGAATCGATCGAGTTACAATTTTCCATTCTTCACGTTTCAGGGAGAGAATGAATCTGAAGGCCCCGATTTATTTCTCCACTGGACTAACAGAGAAAGCCAACCACTATTACAAACTGTTCATCACCTGGACCAATCAAAAAATCCGTAAAACATTTGTGCAGAGAAACATGTTTGAGTTCAAACACATCAAGGCTTTTGATAGGACCTACGCTGACAATCCTGGCCCGATGGTACGTTGATGCTGTATTTAAAGGCAGAATCAGTCATTATTATTTTTGAGAAGTCTATATTTGTAATATAGATTATTTTCAATATTTCTACTCCCAAATTGCGTCGGCTTGGCTCATTCTGTAGCATTTACCTCTGGGTAAGTCTGAGATTGTGGGTTCAAGACCCACGCCTAGACTTTAACTCACAGACGAGGCTGATACTCCAAGTAGAATGCTGTACTGTTGGAGTATTGTCCTTCGGATTAAATATTTAAATCAAGGTCTTGTTTTCCCTTTCTTCAAATATACATTAAAGATCCCGAGACTATTTGAAAACAGAAGGACATTTCTCTCCATGTCCTGGCCAACAATTATCCATCCAGATTGGTTCCTCCCCCACCCCAGTGCCTGAGGACACTGAGACAAATTAGCAGAGTCGAGATGAATCCTGGGACTCTTAGGTAATTAGGAAATAATATTATGGGATATAGTACACAGGTAGTTTGGGACATGGATGCATGCGCCACCAGGAAGGTGGAAGGCGAACAAGATGGACCTTGGTCTTTTTTTTCGTCTAGCATTTCTTAAGTTTATCTCATCGTGTGGCTCTGTTTGTTTGTCAGCAAGTATAGTATTTAGCTATATCCGTAATTATTATTTATTCTGGTACAAACAGCATTTTGAGCCGTTTCCTTCTCAATCCCCCTTTGATGCTGTAAATGTGACTTGCCGATTGCAAGTCCGGTAAATATTTAATGCTGTAACGTAAAGTATTCAACACGTCAGCTTCAGAGGAGCAGTGAAATGTTTTTTTTTTTTTTTGGGACAGGTTGTCTTTGCCACTCCTGGTATGCTTCACGCTGGTCAGTCCCTGCAGATCTTCAGGAAATGGGCCGGCAACGAGAAAAACATGGTAAGAGACAACAGCAACTTGGATTTATATGGCATCCTTCACGCGTTGTAGTGTCCCGGAGCGCTGCAAAGTGGCAGAGTCTGACAACGAGCGAAAGGGAGAGGGAGGAGGGAAGTGACTGTAAGCACAATCGGAAAGAAAGGTCTTTACCTGGGATTTGAAGGTGTGGAGGGAGGGGCGAGGCGGAAGGATTGAGGGAGAGAGTAACAGACTTTCGGGACGTAGCGGCTGAAGGCACGGCCACCGATGATGGAACGGAGGGGACAAGGGACAAATAAGAGGCCGGAGCCGGCCAAGCGGAGGCGGCAGGTGGTGTAGTGGGAGGTAAGCAGGTAGGGAGGTGCGAGGGAATGAAGCGATTTGAAAACGAGTGACAGGGATCTTTCGGTGATTGGGAGCCATTGGAGGCTGGAGAGGACAGGAGTGACGGGGGATCGACAAGCTGATGTGACAGTGAAACTCCACGCAGCAGAACTCTCTCAAGCTGCAAATTTCTGACTGGTTTACCTGACCGTGCCTATTCCCACTCAGGTCATCATGCCGGGCTACTGCGTTCAAGGAACCGTTGGGCATAAGATCCTAAGCGGCCAACGGAAATTGGAAATGGAGGGGAGACAAACAGTAAGTGTTGCTTGGAGTGTGGGATTGACTTTAATCCGCCTTTAGGTTTTTCAATATGATACACATTTATGTGCTTGTGAGAGAAAATCTTACAGCACAGAAGGAGGCCATTCAGCCCATCCTGCCTGTGCCTGCTCTTTGAAAGAGCTACCCAAGTAGTCCCACTCTCCCTCTCTTTCCCCATAGCCCTGCAATTTTTGTCTTTTAAAGGATATATCCAATTCCCTTAATAATGTGGAATTGAGGTTGAGATAATGTAGGCTTGAGTTTTCTTGAAGCGAAAGTCAAGTGTCGAGTGAAACTGCCTGCGGCTAAATGTTGCTGTCTTGTTCCTAGCTAGAAGTGAAGATGCAGGTGGAATATATGTCGTTCAGTGCCCATGCGGACGCCAAGGGCATCATGCAGCTTATCCGTCAAGCAGAGCCCCAGAACGTGCTACTTGTGCACGGAGAGGCCAAGAAAATGGTGTTCCTGAAGCAGAAAATCGAGCAGGAGTTCAGTAAGTTTTACAGATCGATGGTGCACCACAACCAACTTCCTGCTCACTCCTCCTTCACTTACTTCTACGGACTTATATGTGTGTCCATTCTTTTACTTTACTCGATAATCCACACTGTGGAGCACTTTGATACATGATCCTATAATGGTAATAACAATACTTGCGTCTTCGAGACATCTCAAAGCACTTATATACTGTAAAGTGAATTATCTGTATATTTTGTGGGCCAAAAAGTGGTGGAAAGGGAAGGATCCTGTGTGAAATATGCTTTGGCTGTCTGAACCCGGGTTCCTAGAAGATGTAATTCCAAATTATTGTACTCCGAGCTTGATTGAAACGTCTCTGAATCGGGATAGTCCAAAGTTGCGGCATGCTGAAGCGATTTCTCTTCATTGTTTCAGGTTGTAGTTAAAACCAGTGCCTGAGCTGTATTTTGCTCCAAATCGTTTAGTATCGTTTCATCATTTTTAATGATGTGTGTTTTCCACGTAGATATTAATTGCTACATGCCAGCCAATGGTGAGACAGCTACAATCGTCACAAACCCTAATATTCCTGCGGATATTTCCCTGGGACTGCTCAAGAGAGAGACGACACTTGGTAAGGATGTGAAGCGTTTATTAAGATACGTAAATATCCCGTTTTTAAATGGAAGTCTATTTATAACGAAAGGCAGTGCACAAAATTAGAAACTATTTTGAGTATGTTCCCCTTGTACTTTGGGTGTTAATTTGGGCGGTAGTATTTTCTGAACAGGTTTGTTTCTTAAGAGATCTGTAATTTTATCAAATTTTAAAAACTGTGCTGAAGACAGACGCGTCTCAGCAATGTAACAATTCATTTCAGAAGAAATCAGTTAAGAAATCCCACAAAATAGACCTCTCCATGTCTAAACAGTTCTAAGTGAAGCGAGTTTAGGCATTCTCTCTTCAGTGCCTAATGATCTGTACCAGCTACAGTGCAGATACCACAGGAAGCATGGTAGGCAAGTGTGACTTTTAGAAGGTAAAAGGGTAGGAAGTGTGACAGTTGTAAATAATAATAATCCTTGCATTTGATATAGCTCCTAATCACATAGTTGAGATGTCTCAAAGCGCTTCGCAGTACATACTGTAAAGTGGATTAACTGCATTTCGAGGGCTGCTGAGGCGTTAACACTGGTGACTTTGTTCCTTTTCTTAAGTAGGTCCGTTACCTGATCCAAAGAAACCCAAAGTAATGCATGGTACATTGATCATGAAGGACAATGTAAGTAAAGGTATTTCTGACCTGTGATGTTATTGTAAAAGCCTTTTTCTATGGTAATAATAATAATAATAATCCTTGCATTTGATATAGCGCTTTTCACGTCTTCTAGACATCCCAAAGCGCTTCACAGAATATACTGTAAAGTGAATTGACTGTATATTTGTGGGCGAAGGCGGCAGCCAATTGCGCACAGCAATGTCCCACAAACAGTCGTAGATTGAAAATGACCAATTTTATTATTGTTTTGTTTTTTTTGGAGGGATTATTATTAGGCTCTGTGTGGAGTAAGGAAACTTGCCCAAGGTTTCTCCCTGTCTGGAATTGAACTCCGGTCTCTCGCTTGTAAACTACTGAGAAGCCACAAATGTAATTAGTTCTCTCTTACAAATTTATTGGAACTTTTGAGTTGTAGCTATTTTTAAAAAAAATCATGTACGTGTGGTCAGTCAAGCGGAAACCATCAGTGGTCACATTCAATGGTGCCTGATGTGCCCACACTCATCTGAGGAGATTTTCTGAGGCACAGGAGAGGAAGGCTGAATGGCACACTGCCTACCCTTTCCTATCACTGACATTGACACCCTCTAACCATACACGCAGACCCCAACAGTGTTCTGAAAGGTCAGTGTCATTGGCTCTTCTGCTTGTAGATCGTGACTGTCAGATAATAATAATAATCATTTGAGATAGCGCCTTACCACATCATTAAGACAATACAATACAAAATTACATTGGTATAGCGTTTTTAACGTCGGGAGGACATCGCAGGATGCTGGACAGTCAGGGATTTGGATCTGAGAAGTGGGTGGGGGGGGGTTGAGGTAAGGGAGGGCGGAGGGCAGGGAAATGTTTCAAAGAGCTTCATAGAATATTATGTAAAGTGAATTGATTTTGTGGGCGAAACGCAAATCCCAGCTGGTGAGATACCAGCCACTCTGAGCTCTTTGTTCAGGTAACAGGCCTGTTTCCTCTAACCAGCGGTTGAAGGCCATTAAGAACAGCCCACCCTCCAGCTCTTTCCCTTTTGTTGTCAATCACCCCCCCCCACATATTGAACATATTGTGTCATCCTGTGCCTCTCTCACACAGAGCCTTCGGCTGGTTTCGCCCGAGCAGGCGGTCAAAGAGTTAGGGCTCAGTGAGCACCACCTGCGGTACACCTGCAAAGTTCAGATACAAGACCACCACAGTGAACAGGACACCCTGAACAGGATATACACCCACCTCAAAAAGTGAGTACACAGCTCTCAACGAAACCTGCCGAGAGCGAGCTACATTTCTGTGCTTATTACAGTGGTGGCTGAGTCATTTGTTGTGGCCATTAAATATCCCATCTATAAGAACAACAACTTGCATTTATATAGCGACCTTCATGCCAGACGGCGTCTCGGAGCTCTTTAGCTCAATAATAGCCCAAGTTACATTCCCAACTTATTGCCGGATGCTTCTACATACATATTGGACGCTTGTTGAATCGATTTTAATAGCTTAAACTCTGTTCCCCAAAGATTATTACCCTGTCCGTCAATTGGTCTTGCACTTACATTTTCAACCAGGTGATATTCCTTCTCTCGTCTTTCCTTTTGCAGCATCTTGAAGGACTACCCTATCCAGCACCTCCCCGATGGCTCTGTGATGGTAGAGTCGATTCTTATTAAAATCAGCGCCACGTCAGACGATCAGAGCACTAAAGACGTGTTGGTTTCCTGGACCTATCAGGTGAGTTGCCCCATCCTCTGCCATCTCCTGTAGTCCTGTTACCCCGCCCACACCCGCTGCTGTGTCAACTCTTTGCCTTGCTCCATGTTCTCTCTCCTTACCATTAGTGAGCGAGCCTTCAGCTACCATCCATGTGCCTCCGTTCTCCGGAACTCTCCCTCAGTGACAAATAATAATAATTTGGTCACTCAATCCCTGACTGTTTGTGGGACACTTCTGTGCGCAATTGGCTGCAGGGTTACGCCCATAAAGTATAGTCACTATACTCTACATTATACTTTACAGTGTATTCTATGAAGCGCTGAAAATGCAAGGATTATTATACTATTAAATCCCTCCTCCCCACATCCTCCCTGCTTATTAATTCCCCAATTATTTTCCTGTTTTAGGATGAAGAACTGGGCAGCTATCTGATAACTTTACTCAAGAAAGGCCTGCCTCCGACTATTCCTGTTTGAGGTGCGCAATTGCAGAAACAAGTGAAATAAAACAATTTAAATTTATTTTTTAAAAATTGCCCCTCCTGATATTTTTGTACATTAATTTCCCAAGTTTTTGCCGTGTAATTGTTCAGATTTTATAAGAAAATAAAGCGTTGACGCACAAAAATGCACTTCCTGTACTTATGTGCTGGGGCTCTAAGTACGTGTGGTCGAAAGAGGTTTTAGCAGTTGTTCTATTTTGGCATTGGAAGACTTCAGTTGGTTGGAAATGTTTTGTATTGTTGGAAAAGTTAATAACTTAAAAGTAAACTGGAACCTTTTCATAATGTTGCTGTGTCGCCTACATGAGATGAGAGCTAGGAAACTAACATTTGAAACCTGCGCATTAGATGTGGTTAAAGTAAGCTGTTGCTATGAATACAAACAAGTCATTCAAGCTCGGTTTGCTTTGAATAACTTACACTAAGACGATTCCTTGTCCACCATTTTCCTTCCCCTTTTCGGCCTCTTCCCATGGGCAATGGTCCAATTCCCAGCCAAAGACCTGGAACTTGCCAAGAGCTTGCATCCACCGCTGTCGTCTGTTAGGAGGTGTTCTGAGGCGCAGGAGAGGAAGGCTGAATGGCGCACTGCCTAACCTTTCCTACCACTGTAACACCTCACCACGATAGAAAGTACAACACGCTCGACATTGCAGAAACAGCTTTGGGTTCTGACCACGTGACAATCTTACACTATGAGATACCAAACTAATTCTCTTCACTGTGGGCAACCCTGCTGGATTGGTTTGCACTGGCACGTTTATGCACTGGCAACCACTTGTGGAGTGAACCATTTACAGCTATGTTCTATATGATCGCAAGCAGTAAGCTTTAAAATACAATCTGGGTAAAACATGGTGTTAATCACAAGGACCAGTTTGCATATATCAGTTTGCAAAATTTAGAGCCAGCAAATATAAGGTCAGTAAAGTCCAGCAAAGTGAATCTGGGCAAATACTTTGTCCTGAACGTTGCCATCTGCAAATATCATAAATCCGGAAATCTCAGTTAACTCGACCAGTCTGGTTTGTGAATATAGTGCGAGCAGAATAATAGGATTTTCTTTCTCAAAATGTAATTTCAATGGAAGGAAAGATTAATCTCAACGAACTCAATAAACGGATGAATCATTTTATTACCAAAGCAATTTGAGTCTTGGTTCACACAACAAAGTAGCCAACAGGAACTACTGCAAAAGAGACTGGAACCTCACCACTTTAAGCTCTATTGTTGCTGGGGGTACAACAATGTACAAAAGGACGGACTTGGGTGGTGGGGTGCATCAGTCTGAAAGTCACTGAATTCCTACAGCCTCATGACTCTTCCCAACAACTCCGATCTAATGGATTTGTACAAACAAGAGTTCAGATCAATTAGGAAAACTGTCACCGGTCGTTAAAGATAAAGTAAATCGAAGCATTTAAGAATCCCACCGATGAGACACTACCCTGCGTGAAGGGCTCTGTGAACCTAAGTAGGTGTTGATGAGTTGTTGATGGGTTGCATCTTCCACTGTCAGTTTTTCAAATTTGTGGGTCGTGACACTGTAAACCTTTTGAAGTGGTCGACTCTTCTTAAAGAAACTCAACTTAAATTTGATGTTGGCAAGGTAGTACAGCAAGGGGTCCAAGCAAGTGTTGAAGCTCACCATAGCCATGGTGACCCGCCGGGTCTTATAGAGGAAGTTCTTAAAAGCGCAGTCTTGAATGAAATCGAGGCGGGCGAGCAAGTAAAACAAGTGGGTGACGTGATAGGGAATGAAACAGACGATGGACATGGCTAGAATCAAGAAGATCATCTTCAAGGCTTTCGTCTTACGCTTGCTGTTCTTAAGCCGAGCCACTTTCTTGGCCATCAGAGGGTAACAGATGATGATGATTGAAAACGGGATGAGGAAACCGGACAGCAAAGCTATGGTGTTGTAGGCAGCCATACGCTCGCTCCAGGCCACCGCGGAGAAATTCTCGAAGCAGGCTGTCTTGTTCTCCCGAATGTTTGTCAGTGGCCCCTCAAAGTTCAAGGGAAGCATCACAGCAAGGGCTCCAACCCACACGAGAGCCACGATCACCCTGGGGTAATGTGTGTACTTGATCCTCAAGTATTTCCTTGGGTGGACCACTGCAATGTAGCGATCCACGCAAATACAGCTCAGGAAAGCAATAGAGACGTAAATGTTGGCAAAGTACACGGTGCCAGTAATTTGGCACATCACGTCCCCAAAAGGCCAGTCATTCTTTTTTATGTGGTAGAAGATTCTAAACGGCAACGTACAGACAAACAGAACGTCCACCACAGCCAAGTTTATAAAGTACAAATAAGATGGGGAGGTTTTTTTGACCTTCACAATAAATATGTACAACACTGCTACATTTCCAATCAGCCCCAGTACAAATACAATACTGTAAACTATTGGAAATAAGTAGAACTGGAAAGGGGCTTCGATACTGCAGCTAGAATTTTGGCTTTTTGGCACGGTCAGGGTTTCAGAATAGCCTTGTGAGCGGTTCATCCTTCTTTCTGGGTTCAGTGCTCTGTGACACAGTTGGATGCTGAGCGGAGTAAGCAATCGGGAAGGACTCAGGAAACCTGGATACACAACAAAGTAGGAATTAAGACATCTCTGGAACAAAGCGAAGATATTCCTATTTCCTCAGGTCTTTGATCATTTGCATTTACGTAACTCAATCTAAATTTGCAATGGATACTCCGCTAGTTAAAGGAATTAATTGATTTTAAAAAAAATCGACTGTGAGTCTATTCCACACATCCATCACGCCGTGGGGTTTGAGTTTCTTCTCATCTCTGGGTTGGTTAGTGTGCCCTCGTGCACTTTAGTTTTGCTAACAGTCGAGGTTAAAACAAATTACTTGCATTTATTTATTCATGTTTTTCATGAATTTTAAGGGGGAAACTAGTGCAAACCATGTCTCCCCTCAATCTATTCTCCAGCAAAAATAAGTTTCAACCTCTCTCTAACTTAAAGCACTGCCTCTCATGATATCCTCACTGGTCTCCTTTGAACCTTCCCCAATACTCCAGTGACCGAGCTTTTATAACTGCTCGGATCCCTAGGACACACCAGTCAACATCACCCAGTTTTCCTTTATTCTCTCTACCAGCATATCCCGAAATAAAACAAATACATTCATACCGCTTAGCTAACTCTCCTGTTTGTGGACCTGTAATCGGAAATGCCGTGCAAAATAACCATATGGTTATGGTTTATTTTGTACTGAACAGTGGAACCAGAGGACACGGCCTGCGATTAAAGGGGGGTAAACTCAGAATAATCTGCGGAAACACTACTTCAGTGAGCGAGTGGTAAACTTATGGAACAGGCTCGCTAGGGAGACAGACAGTGGAAGCAGAAAATGTTGTTTGTTTCGAGAACAAATTAAGATAGATTTCTGCAAGGAAATAATTTGTTGTGATACAGTATATAGTTTCGGTTTAATGTCCTCGTCAGACTGATGGAAGGTGAACTGAATGACCTTAATCTTCTTTCGCTATGTTCTTATGTTAACAGCAATCAGTGATCAGACCAAGCAATACAATGTAATCTGAGATAGCAAAGCTCTCACATCAGACAATCACTGAGGATATTTTGGACGTTTCCATGCATTCCTCTCGGCTTCTTGAGCCACTGTAATAACACATAGAAAAAAAACTCTTTACTTTCTACCAATAATGCCTCATGAAGGATTGGATGAGATATTAAACCGAGATCCTGTCTGTGTCTGTTCAAGTGGAAGTTAAAGATCCCATGGTACGATTCAAAAAAGTGAAGCGAGCTTCTCCAGGTATCCTGGCCAACAAGTCCACCCCCCTCCACCATATAAGATTGTTCATTCCTATCACAATAAAATAAATACATTCATACCTTCGTTAAAGTGTTTGTAGGTCATTCATTGCTGAGCACAAATTGGCTGCTGCTTTTTCTTATACTGACGCTATACTTTACAGTATATCCTGTGAAGTGCTTTCACACATCCTCCCCACATGAAAGGTACTGTACCAAATCTAAGGATCGTTATTATAACAGAATAAAAATAAAATGTTTTACAGTACTTACTATGTAAGGGTAAGCGGAATCGCTCATATAATCCTCCGCTTTGCACCGATTTTCACAAATTATGTAATTATGACAACTGGTGTGAAGTGTGTCTCAAAGTGAAGTGCCTTCGCTCTTCGTCTTAAAGCTCTGCGCTGCCCACGTTTCGAGGTGACAAAGTGTTGTTTCCAGCACAACTCCCTCGCGAGTGGAAACTCCTTTGAGACGCATTCGCTTTGTCGAGTGCTAAAGCAATGAGCCGCGGACGAAGACAAAAACAGTCGCGATATAAGCCAACCCTTTTAAATTCCAACAAAACAAAAAACACTGGTTCGAAAAATAACCTGTGGGCCGAAGTAGCTTCATTTTTAACTAGTTTCCTGTGAAGCAAATGCACCACAAGACATCATTCACACAGCCATCAGTGGAGAAGAAAACCATTAGCCCCCAACAAGTACCAATGGCTCCTATTCCATTTCCCTGCCTCTTCCCATATTCCCTTTTAGTTCTTAACAGGATTTCTTAATTAAGAAAGCCACGAGGAAACTCCGTACGGTAACTGGAACGACACTTCTGTTAACTCCTGACAGTGACTTGACTCTGGTCAGATTTTCCTCTTAAACTCTGCTCGTCAACCTTCTGCTTCAAACACAGCACATAGACTGATGTGGTTGATTGCAATGGAACAGGCAGCACTCAGGTTAGTATGAGCACCACTGAGGGGGCGGGAGTGGATGGAGAACGTGTAAGTTCGTTATTTGAGGTTACAGTTTCATCTGAAGTCATTGTGCTGGTTGGATGGAGAGCAGTTTTGCAGTCGCTGTGCAGGACTATGTATCTCTCCTCCAGGATCCACCACCCACCCCCCCACCCACACACACGGTAGTTTTTTTTTCTAAATCTTGATCTGGTAGGTAAGCAATTGCCTCTTCTCTGCTCCACTCTGCTCTCTGCGGTAAGAACCAAACCCCAATGCGGCTATAGCTCTTTGCACTCGATGGTTTATATAGCTGCCTTATCACGTCATCGAGACATCTCAAAGTGCTTCACAATATACTGTAACGCGACTTGACTGTATATTTTGTGGGCGAAAAAGGCTGCATTTATTGGCACAATCTCCCAAGAGTTAATGTCTTTTATTCGTGGGTCAGTCGATGACTGAAACTGGTAACAATCAGCAATTACAGCGTAGGACGGATGAAAGGCCGATGGAACCATTCACCTTAAAATGATACTCATTCAGCCAGCAGAGCCTGACCCGCGCTCGTCCCAAGTCCCCGCGCTCTTTCCCGGGAAACTCTTTAAGATTCCGCGTCTTCGAACGTCCGACCATTTCAATTGCGGTTTAAAACTTGCAGCCGGTTCCCCTGGCGTGAACCAGCCATCCCATCCCGCTGTTAATCATCGGTGTTGGTGGCTGTGCACTCGCTGTGGGAGTTGATTGACGCCCGCTGAGGTCTGTGCCCCTCTCTTCCCGAGACTGTGCCCTTCACTCAACGACGTGTTCGTCCACCTCAAAATCTGCCGAACGAAACACATACACACACACACACATAAGGAACTGTTTACTTCACAGTTATCAAGGCAATTAATACCCAAATTCAAGTCACTTTGAAAATTTGGACCCAAAAAAGAAACACACAGGGCTTGACTTTCGTTCCAGATGCACAGCTGCAATATCTGGCCAGAGCTTAAGCATCACCGCAACCACAACCCGTGCCAGCTTTGAGTGCTCTTAACACGCAGGACAAATATGCTTGGCCCATCAACAGTGCTGGTTCTCTCGTCTAATCTGCAGCTCAATTATGCGGCTTCTGAGCCGAAGGCACAGTGTAAAGTTGCGCTTGGTTACGGGGCTCGGATTCTGAGCTACTCTTGTGCAAAAATCAACACGCGCCTTCCATCACAAGCGCTGGGAGGATTTGTAGCGTAACGATAAGGCACGGAAACAGGCCCGAACAGTCCATAAGGTCAGATATCCCTTTAAAAGTATATATTTTTAAAAAAACTTTAAAACTACACTTTGCAGTGAAGAGCATATCACGTCTCGAAGACGTGATAAGGCGCTGTGTCAAATGCAAGGATTATTCTGATTATTAAAAGCAAATGGGCAATTAGGCAATAGAAAACCAATGAGATAACAGCAGGAAGTATAAACCCTTCTGGGAAGGTAAGTGGGGGATTTGGGTTTATGATGGGAGTGGTGGATTGTTGGAAGCTGAGAATAAAGGCGTTACTTAGTACAGTGATGCTGTGGATTGAGAATCATTACACATGTTGGTGCTTGTATTATCTCCCTCCCTCTCCGCCCCTCCCTCCTTCTCCCCTCCTTCCCTCTCCCCTTTCCTCCCTCCCTCTCCCTCCCTCAGCCCATTCTCCCTCTGTTCCTTCAGTGGGTTCAGCCAGGATAATCAGAAACTGAATAGGAGGAGAGGAGACACCTTCCCAGCCGCTGGGTTCCTTACCCTTCTCATCGTACTCCACTTCCTTCAGGAACAGGCCGTCCGGCGGAGCCAACGAATCCGAGGGAAAGGCGCGCGAATCCCGCATGTCCAGCAGCTCTTTTATGTGTCGGGGGGTCAGCCTGCCCTGGCCAACCATGACCAGAGCCCCCGTCAACCTCCGCACCTGTCACAGGTTTGAAGAGGAAACACATAGCCATAGAACCTTACAGTACAGAAGGAGGCCATTCGGCCCATCGTGCCTGTGCCAGCTGTTTGAAAGAGCTACCAACAAGTCCCACTTAACCCCCGTACGCTCTTATCCCATAGCCCTGCAACCTGTTTCCTTATTACGTACCTACCCAATTTCCTTTTGAAAGCAACTATTTAAATCTGCTTCCACCGCCCTTTCAGGCAGTGCATTCCAGACCATAACAACAACCCTCTGGGTAAAAAAGAGACTTTTGTCTCTTCCTCTCCCCTGACTCGTAGTCAGACTCCCCTCCCCCCACCCATCGCTCTGGGACGCTACCTCGCGTGAAGGGCGCTGTATAAATGCAAGTTGTTGTTGTCGTCGTGTTGGTTGCCCCAGCAGAAGAGCCTTGGGGGGCAACAACAAGGAAAGCTCTGTCCTCCTTTATGGCCACACGCACTGGGTCGCAGGCTGGAAGAACAGCAAACGTAAGCAGTCCAGGGCACAGGAAATCCAGTCACACTACTATGATGCTGCAGTGGTTGAGGAGCCAGAGCACGGCAGCCTCATTATTGAAAGGAACCACGTGTCGGCTGGGGGCGATCAGTAGTTTCTGCACTTTGTGTAAGTAAACGAGAGATTGTGGCGCTGGTAAACTGAGTACTTGGCTGCGTGCCCACCCAGTGTCAGTGTAAAGCACATTAATTCCACAACACGTGGTTAGGTTGGTAGCGAGTTGCACCTTAACCCTTTCGCTGGCTCATTCACATAATGGAATGAAAGCGAGAGAGAGACAGTGGGAAAGAAAGAGGAGAGAGAAAGAAACCTTTACAAGAGCACAAACAGCCATGATGTGAATAACCAATTTTACCAGGAACCTGGGGGAAACTAATTCCCTTCTATTTCCCAATAATGTCATGGGATCAGCACCGTGTATTTATGCAGCATCTGACCACGTGGGAGAACGTTTCGGAGCGACTTTCAGAGATGGGCAGAAGGAAGCTCGAGCAGGGTGGGAGCTTAGGGCAGGGAGGGAGGGAGGGAGTGAGGTAGCTGAAAATTGCAGACAAAGAGGTTGGTTTAGAAAAGACAAGGGGGAGGAATTGGGGCAGAGGGGGTTTGGGAGAGAAGGTGTCAACATTATAGGGTGACTCGGTGATTATTTTTCCTGAGAAAAACATCAAATAGATTCAAAGACGTAATATTTTATGACTGAACCATTTGCGAAGCTGGACATCTGTGATCCCGGCCTTTTAATCAAGCTGTGTTTCTCATTGAATCACTAGAGGTCTCTGCAAGCTTTCTCCTCTCAGCCCTACGCCTCTTAAGTGCCAGGAGGTTTGCTGGCTCTGGCACCTGGCACACCACCAAAGATTACAGCAAACATCAATCACGGTGTGAAGTGACTGTCAGGTAATACTGGATCTGGGTCTATCTGCGGATGTGCCCTCACCACGTCACTGCTGGCGACTGTCACAAATGGGTTGCGAGGTGAATACATGGACCACATTGCCCTCACAGCAAAACAGGAGGTTTCTCACTGGTCAGACAGAAGTTGAAGCATCTGGTCATTGCAAGTGGTAAAATGAAAAGGTGTTGTCACCACTGTAATCAGCTCATGTCTGTGCCTGTTCAGGTGGATATTAAAACTCCCTTCTCTGTTCGTGCAGAACAGACGAGGGAGTTTCCTGGCCAATAAACACGCCTACATTAAATGAGTCATTTGTGCGCAAGTTGGCTGCTGCTGTCACCTACATAAATACACGGTTACTGCACCTTGCAGTAAAGCCTGAGAAGCACTTTGAAATGTCCTCCCGATTTGAAAAGCATATCAAATGCTTCAATGGCCACAGACGAGACGAGACCTCGGATTAACGTCTCATCTGAAGGACGGCAGCTCCAACAACTGAGCCGTGCTGGCACCTAGAACAGCAACAACTTGCATTTATATAGCACTTTCGGTCCACACAGGGTAGCGCCTCGGAACATCTAACTATGTCTCTTAAACACGTAAATCTCTTTGCTATTCACAGTCGGGCAATAAGTACCTGTTTATAGAGGAACGATCTGCTCCGAAAGGTTATTTCCCAGAACTCCAGGTGCCTAGAGCCAAGGTAAGAAATAATCAGTCAGTGGGCTTAGCTTAGCCAAGGTTTTCTACATTACAACGTTTGCGAGATTACTATTTCGAACAACTCCACCTTTCAAAAATGACGGCAACAGCTTAGGGAGGCCTTACATTATTAGCATAATCAGTCAAGCTGTTTACGGGGCGTGACTGTGTGCAAATTGGCCGGTTTTGCTTACAAATACACACGCAATCACTGCGCTCGACAGTAATTCCTGTGAAGCGCTATGAGATGTCCTCTCGCCACGAAAGATGCTGTATCAAATGCAAGGAATATCACCACAAACCCAGAGGAGAGTGGTCTAAAATGCGGGTTGGGTATATTAATAGCTCATTTGGTTAACCATGTTCAAAATTCACAAAAGGTTTGCATTTAATTATCCAGAGCAATGATTGGCTGAATCACCTTAGTCTATGGGCTGTAAATCCAACCTGAATTTCAGACCTCAACTTGACATTACCAAAGGAACCCAACCCACAAACGTTGAGAGTTACAGAGTCAGAAACCTGTGATAAACACCGGAGGCAGAGGCGGTAACTGCAGCACACCAAACCCTGTTTGAACAAGCTTTGAAACACGGCTTAGAAAAACAAATGGGGTGAAAATGCTGAGGACGTTTCCTAACCCCCCAACCCCGTTCAGACTGCGATACAAACAGCCTGATGTCCGCAAGTGTGTGTGTGCACGGCAGCCGTGTAAAATGGGAGGGGGGCGGTGGACTGAAGGCTGTGCGAGAGGCACACTGCCAGGTTAAGACGCTGCATTCATTTATTCACGAGCGATCTATTGAATTATTCCTACTGGGTTCACAAGAGAGTCCTGCAGAGGAAGCAAACAGCTCACTGAGGACCTAAAACGCAGCTAATTTATTCCAAATATAAGCTCTGCTACGAGGCTTCAGCGCTGGCTTCCGCTGGCATGTGCATCTTCTCAGACGTTTGTATGCTCAATCTGGGTGGTAAACTCTCACTCCTATAAACCTTTAATAATAATAATCCTTGCATTTGATATGGTGCTCATCACGTCTTCGAGACGTCTCAAAAAGCATGTCACAGGACATACTGTAAAGTGAATGAATGTTTCGTGGGTGAAAGGCGGCTGTGAAAATGAGATAGTTCCTGGCTTGTGGAGAGAGAGAGAGAGAGAAAGAGAGAGAGACATGGCAGATGCAGAAATCACTGCTCAGTTATCGATGTGTTAAACTGCACATGCTGCCTTCTTTGACAGCTGGTCAAATTAAAACACTTGAAAGCTTCCTCCGACGGATAAACCGATAACAGCCGGAATCTGCGGTGGAAGCAGAAAGCATTAGGAAACGTAATGCATTCACGAGGGAGAAGGGAGTAGAGGGGATTAAGAGGGGGTGGAGGCTCTTGCGGCTGTGTCACTGTTTCACCAGCGGTTGACCCCTCTTTCCATTGACCCCCACTCCCCGCTAAACTTTATTTTACTCCGAAACCATTGAATACACTTCACGGTTTTAAAAATGCAACGATTGCACGTTTCTTCAGCCCGTGCTAGTGTTGGAAGGCCGATAACTGAACATTTCTTATGAAGGGGAGACCACCGCACAGTCGGAGGCGGCTACTCTCAGATGAGACATTAAACCGCACGGCTCTGTCTGCCTGTTCAGCCGTTCGAAAAGAGAAGGGACTTTCTCCCGGTGTCCTGCCCGACAATTCCCCCCCCCCACGCCCCCAGATAAAACACTGCTGCCCGCAAATGGCCTGCCACACCGTCTGCAAATACACAGTCACTATGCTTTACAGGAGACCCTGCAAAGCGCTTTAAGTCGTTTCGAAGTCGCGTCGTCAAGGATTCTGATTATTACTAAGAAACCTTGCGAGGAACCCAAAAAAATGATTCATTTTCATACCACGTTTTGTTTTTTTTTCTTCAAAGCGAACCACGGCCTCAGTACAATAAAAGCGTTTCAGATTAGGAAAGGGCTCTGAATGACAGTCCCACACAAGCGAAGCCGATAAAATATTCATGTGTTGACCTCCTTTCATGACGAAGCTGGAATCAGAACTGGCTGCCTCCTGTTTTGAGACAGAACATCGAGCGATTAACCCTCCAGTTTAACGCTCCTCAGCTTTTAAAGCGCATTAACGTAGAAAGCATGCAATTTTTTTTTTTTGGTATCAATCAGAGCCGCGGAAGAGGAAAATGGAGCTGTTAAATGCCAGGCACGTAAGTGTTTCAGCTACCAGCAGAGCGAGATAATTGAGCAGCTTGAGTCACCTGAACCCTTGAAATCATTATTAAGCGCATCCTTTAGTTAAGCGGTAAAACTCGGAAAAGTCTGATCTGTATAAACCTAAGTCATACATCTGACCAAGTCCCGTTCAACAGTTTATATTCTATTCAAGTTTGAAGTAAATGATACATTGCCGAAGTCATATTAAATGTACGGGCCCAACTGATACGACCTATGTGAGGTTTACTGTAATACATAGCTAGGAAGGGTGGGTGCAATATTTTCCTTCATATTTTTTATTCTGTACTGCAGATCCTTAAATTTCCCCGCATACTCCGCACCTCCGCGATCTTCCCAAGCCTCACTCTCCTGCTCAGCCCCCCGCCCACTCTCCACTAGGTATACTCAGACCTGCTGCACGTTCCTTCCATCTCACCCACCAGTACTGATAGCCAGGACTTCAACCAGCCTTCATATGCCCGACAGTGGGGAGCTGTGGGAAAAAGGCATCATTTGCCCACAAAATATACAGCAAATTCCTCCAAGAATCCTGGCCAACAATCCTACAGGTGAATATCAGGCATCTGGCTAACCATGGCTGTGTGCGGGACATTGCTGTGCGCAAACTAGCCACTGCATTTGCCTACAAAATACACAGTCGCTACGTCCAACAGTAATTACTGTGAAACCCCTTGGAGACGTTTTGACATTCTAGACACTGTAATAAAGCGATATTTAATTATTATTATATTATTATTTAAGTAAGAGAAAAACATATCCGGACTAGGATTTCACAGGCACAATTTGGTGGAAGAGTAAGAGAGAGAGATGAGAAAGAAAGGGGAAAAAAAAAGGACTGGACTGGAGACTTTAATGACGAGCAAAGAAAAACGGATGATCACATTTTATGGAATACACTGCCTCCAATTCCCGATGGGACTGGGGTCTGTTTTATGCAGCCAGTCAGTCAGTCAGTCAATAATATAGATTGGGATATTAGATTAGCATCCTGCATGATTACCTTTTGAGGTCACGGGGAAAATTTCACAAGAGTTTGGAACCTTCTCATCCACCGTTTCGCTGGTGATCCTCACTTAAGATTCCTTGCGTTTGATACACCGCCTTATCACGTCTTCGAGACGTCTCAAAGCGCTTCACGCGATATACAGTAAAGTGAATTGATTGTATATTTTGTGGGCGAAATGGGGCAGCCAATTGCTCACAGCAGAGCCCCCACAAACAGTCGTGGATTGAGTGACCAAGTTATTATTATTACTATTTTTTATGGAGGGGTTATTACCCCCGGAAAACCGATACGCCAATCGAGGTTGCTACTTACTGCTCGGTAAACAGAGGTGCCTGGAGAAAGGAAACTTGCCCGACGTTTTGGCCTGCCGGGGAATCAAACCCAGGTCTTCTCGTTTGCGAGGCGATTGCTCTAACCACTGAGCTACAGACTCCACTCCCTCGGGAGCCGGTGAGATTTTCCGGTGGGGGGTGGGTGTGGCGCTTAATACAAATACAAGCCACGTTTAAATCAAGAGAATGGAGAAGTGGGGGGAGGTGGTGGGGGGGAGATAGGAGAAACACTTACATAAATCACACAGGCTCTGGACAAAAAAAAAATTGCTGATTTATTGAGATTACGCATTAAAGAAATGCTGAATCAATAAGCGGGCCCTGCCCGAGCGAAACATTTTGTGCAAATGAAAATCACCGCTTGAGCGAGTGATAACCTTGCCTTTCCAGCTGACAAAAGTCTTAAGTTAAATGGTTTGCTTAATGGAATTCCGTGGCAGATAACTTGATTTAGCGAGTTAAATCACTCCCACGCTCCCCGCAATTTACTTATTGTTTTTGACGGAACGTGCAGGAAAATAAATTCTGGCGTGGCGTTCTTAATTCCCCCGCTCGCTGTGCCTGACCTTTTTCGTCTGGCTGGCGATGAGGTGAGGTGTCGAGATGAAACACCCCGGAAAAAAAAAAGACATTAAAAAATGGCACTCCAGACAAGCTGCTCCCATCAACGCTCACTGTCGCCAGGAAACAGGCAGAAATGTAAAGAGGTAATGGCTCTTGACTGAACAGTGTGTCAGAATCAGCCTTTATGCCCAAAGACAGGCAAAGCCAAGGAGTCTATCGGTGGGGTCTGTCCGTCTCTGCGTTCAGCTTTGAAGGAGAAAATTAAGATACAGTGAAAAGGGAAAAAAAAAGAAAGCACTTTTATGGCACTGTACGTCAAAACATCTCCCAGCCCTTCGCAGCAATTACTAACGCGTACGGTGAAGGTGAACTGATAGCCTATTTGGGCGCACGAAGGCCCTTAATCGCAAGAGAGTTGAATGTAAAATTTATTTGGTCTGTTGGTCAGGACACCGGTAAACACTGGGCTGAGCACTTAGACAGATGGCATCTGACAGGCAGAACTTGTTAATGGAGCACGGTTCAGAATTACATCCAACACTGATAACGTGCAGCTTGATCCGGTTATACACACACGCACAGCCACGCAACTCGCATTACGTAGGTGGACAGCACAGTCAGCGAGCAGTCAAGTCGGTTTGGAATGGCTCGGCTGTTTGGTCGGAAAAACGTGGAGCTGATTCGGTGATGCAAATGTCACGGAGCTTCTTGGGCACGTAAAAGAGACAGTTCGCCCCGGGCTGTTTCGAAGGAGCTGAAAGTGTAGGTGTATGTTTTAGAAATTGGCTTTGGGCTCTGGTGATATCTCTTTTGGACCATTCATAATGCACCACAGAACTCCACAGGGCATTAAGATCAGAGGAACATGAAGATATAGAACTGCCAGCCATTTTACGAATGGAGTTGTCTCTCTTAAGGTTGACCTGCCCATTCTTTCCACTCTGCCAACTCTGGCCAGCTTCATGTCCTCTGGCTTGACTATGGTTGGTGAGCTTCTAGTCAATTCTCCCCCCTTCCCGCCCGGAACTTTCTGCCTCCCTTCCTCCCTCTCCACTTTCAAAATCCTTCTAAAAATCTAACGCTTCGGCTGTGCTTTTTGTCACCTTTTTTTGTGCTTTTTGTCACCACTAGTGTCCGCAATGCGCTTTGAGACGCTCTCCTGGGGGAAAATTGTTGTAAAAAGAGGTGTAGAGAGCGGTGACCGCAAGATTATTGTTCTGTTGACGTGATTCGCAAGAGAATTTCCTGAGAATCGGGAATGAACCAGAAGAGTGCACAATGGGCCTTACCCAATGCTGACGTTTCCACAGCGCCGCCATATCCCTTTACCCTCTCAACAAAGACGTAGCGAATTGGTGAGAATTAGTGCTGCATTGAGGGCAGCTCAGCTCAGCCCTGGGAGTTTGCAGTTAGTGACATCTGGACCGAGCTGCTCACACTTGTTTTGCTGCCCTGACTCCACACTCAATATGATGTGAAACATCTGGCCAGCGAGCTGCGACTACACAGCTGGGATTTGAGTTGCGCTGGAACCTTCCTCTCCGCACCCAGATCTTTTTTGAAACCACCACCGCCAGGGGGAGGAAGAGGAGGATACGGGTGGCCCTTGACTCGAACCCTAACCTTTGGCACCCGGGATCCAATCCAGTCTAGCAAAATGCAATGAAAGTCCCCTCAATCCAATGTTACCCTGGTGCATGCTCTTCTGAAGTTAATTACGTTTGACACAGCGCCTTATCACTTCGTAGAAACATCTCAAAGCGCGGTACATGATTCAATGTAAATTGTAGTGACTGTGTATTTTTTTAGGACAACATGGCAGCTAATTTACGCACAGAAAGTCCCATAACCAGCCACAAAGTGACTGACCGATTTTAACTTGTTGGGGAAATTGTTGGCAAGGACTTCGGGAGAAAGAAACTCCCTTCTCTTTTTCACATAGCGGCTCGGTCCTAAAGTGTCTGAAGAGCACAGAAAACCACAACAACATTGGAAGTGAAAAATGGGTCTCCTACGTGGAACAGAAAGGAGGTGCCAGCTCCACTTGATCTACTGTTAGAGACCAACCAGCACCCGAAAGGATGAAGCAAGGCTTTTACAGTGAGTTACAGGTACCGCAACCACCATTTCACATCTCGCCGCCTCCACTCATTGCGAAGGTAAAATATTGCCGCCGTGAATTGAGCGTTGTTGAGTGGAGGCTGCTGAAAAACGACGCACGGGGAAAGGAAGAAGTTTTTTCTGGTTTCATGGCGCCCGATGTCAAAACGTTTCAAAGAGCTTCACAGCTTCCAACTGACCAGTTTTTTTTTGTAATCGAGCTCAGCAATTGCTTTTTTGCGCGCAGCAAGGTCCCGCAAACTGCCGTGACATGAATGATAAGTTAATCTGCAGGATCGTTAGCCGGGGTAGCAGGGAGAAACGTCCTTTCCGCCTCCGTGCCCCCCACCCCGCTCCCCCTCACCTCTTTCCAAAAGGTCAATTAACGTCCATTTGAACAGGCAGGCGGAATCGCGGTTTAACATCTAATCACGAACGACAACACAAGTGTTCACTCCTCCAACCCCCACACACTCACACCTCACACACTCACAACCTCCACTACTGCACTTGGCGTGCCAGCCAAGCCTAGGCAGCGCACAGAGCGAAAGAGAGGCAAGAAGAGACCAAAAACACCAGTTAGTTATTTCCGGAGGCTGCAGCTTCCCTACCTGTGAAAGTCGTGCTGCGCGGACATGCTGACGCCTGGAGTGACGTCTGCCCGTAACAACGTTTTCACCGGCGACCTGAAGTGGGTCTCGTCGTTTAAAGAGCGGAAGGTGCTGAAGTCGTGGGTCCCCAGCAGCACCTGTGCAGCCTCCTCCATGGCGCCAACGTTTAACGCTCTGCTTAGAAACACAAGCACAGAGCGTCAGCCCGGCTCAGTCGCTAGCGCTCTCGCCGCTGATTTTTTTTCCGGGTTTTTCAGGCCCTAAGCTGAGCTAAACGTCTGCACGAAGCCGAACCAGTTCTGCCCAGAACAGAATCGTTCACCTCATTTGTAATCGTAATTGCACAGGGCAATACAAACTCTACTGATTGTTGTGATATAAATATTTTTCAGTGCCCGACTCCCAGTGGAAATTATTATGGTTAATGTTTTGTTAAAGGTACGGACGGCTGTTTGTGTATTACAGTAGGAAAGAGAGAGAGAGACACACAGACAGACGAGGACTGAGAAAAAGAAACAGACAGACACAGTCAGACAGACAGACGGCTGAGACAGGAACAGTAAGTGTTTGCAGAGCATTAGAATAATTGATGTCAGAGGCGTCGTGCTTTGGATAAGACGTTAAAATGAGGGGACCATCTGCTGGTTCTTCAGGTGGATGTTGAGGATCTCGTGACACGATTGAAGAAGATAAGGAGGAGTTTTCCTGGTCTCTTGACCAGCACTACTCGACAGCAGGGGTTCAATATTCTGGGCTCAATGCCACCCTGGTATCAAGGATTATCAGGGATCGTTTCCCTGCAAAAATCAGTCACTACACTTGACGGAGCCTCGGGACGTCCTCCCGACATGAAAGGCGCTTTACAAATGTAATTTATTGTCGTCGTTGTTTAACAGCAATTACTGTCGGGTGTTTTGACGGCACAGGTACCCGTGTGAGGAAAAAAAATGCAACCTCGTCGAGCACAGGACACAGTTCTTACAACAAAACCGAAGTGTCAGAATTGGATTCGCATTAAGGACGCAAACCCATCATCATCCAGCGAGAGAAGCCAAGGCTGGGTGGTCAGTGATAGCCCCGTGCATATCAAACAGCTGAAATCATAAACAGAGACGAGCTTCTTGGCTACGGAGGGGATGGAAAGACTCCAGGGGTGAGGGGCACTCAGTTGTGTGCCTGGTCTCAGTTCCGTTTCTGGGGGGGGGGTGGTAGTGGGAAGAGACGATAAATGGTGCTGGGGGACTCCCTGTAGAGACGAGACAGGAGAATCCAACCCGGCTCTTACAAGCCACCTGGCATCAAACCATCTCCACAGGATGCTGACCTCTTTTCGAACAGCGCCGCAGGATCTTTAAAAGTCCATCTGAATAGGGCGCAGACAGGTAACTAAGTTTAACGTCTCACCCGAAGGACAGTGCCTCTGACAATACAGCTCCCCCCAGCACTGTGTTAGCATGTCTGGTTAGACCATTCGCTCAAAGTTCACAACCCACCACCTTCTGACCTGGAAGCAAAAACGCTTGTGTCTGAGCCAGGCCAACACCAGAAGACACCATGGTAACCCTCTCTCTCTCTCTCTCTCTCTTTCACACGCACAAACACACACACACACAACCTTAAAAGCAGCTTCTCTTCATAATTTACCCATAAAATGCACTAAAAGCAACACATGAATAAAATATGAGCCAGTGCTTTATGTGGGCGGATGGAACAGGATTCCTGGCAGCAGCGAGCAAACAGCCGAGCTTAATGCTGAAAGGTACCCAACACGGACCAGCATTTAAATAATAAAATATTCCGCTGGGCTCTACCATTTCAATACCGGGAAAAAAAAGGAGCAACAATGATGGAAAGCTGAGAGTGTGGAGGCGAGGGGCGGGGGGGCGAGGGGGAAATAGGAGGAGGGGGATAAAGCTGACCACAAGCAAAATCTATGATGCATTTTTAAAATCCTGTTTCCAAATCCAATATGCAAATGCATTCTACTCACTGAGGGAATCAATGGGCAGCAAAAACCAAAAGCATTTCAAGAAAAAGAATTGAAACATTGACGGTGCAATAAGATTATACGGGCGTCAATTTGCGATATGTGCTAATAACCCATGTGCAAAACATTCCGATTGGGCAAACCGTGGTGCAAACTCAGAGAGACGTTCTCAGACGCACTATTTATATAGATGATTTGTAATGCACCACACGGTGTGTTAATAAGATTAAATTCACTGCATGGTTTAACATTTGCATAGTTAAAAGAATGCAAACATCAGGCAGTGAGTGCACCAACATATTGAAATCCAAACAAATAATATTTGCAAGTTTTTTTCTTTTAAAAAAATGCATAGACCCTCATTATTTCCCATAAAATGTAGGATTTTTAAGGAATATTTTATACAGTACTTCACTTCCTCCAATATTTCTGACAATAAAGCACATCTGTCCAAAGGCAGAATTGGGCCAAGATCGGTTGTGAAACATTTGCTCGCTTTTTGTTCATTCACTGAAAAAACAATTGTCTCCAGAATGGGGTCAGAAAATAAACAGAGCGTGTGTGTGTGTGATGGGTGTGTGAGTGAGTGAGTGAGCGAGCGAGCGAGTGGGTGAGGGAGCGAAAAATTAACTTGCCTTAAGTAATAATAATCCTTACATTTTGATAGAACACTTTTCATGCCACGTCATGTCTCAAAGCGCTTCACAGGATTCACTGTAAACTGCAACGACTGCGTGTTTTGTAGGTGTAGCCAAACAAGATACGCTTGCAGACCTGCAAAGAGCAGGTTCAACTTTAATCGTTGCACCAAGAGTCTAATTTGTATAGTTTCTTAACTGATTTCACAATAAGAAAATGTGTATTTCAGAATTCCTAAGACAGCAGAAGTGCCCACGGACAAGGTCAGGCAACCTTTTAGAAATTGCTCCAGAACGTCCCATGCTCTTGAAGACAATACACGCGAGTAAGAAATACCGCAATTTAGACCCTCACACTATGTGGGCAAGTTTCCACGTGCCTCCGTTTACCTAGCAGTACGTAGCAAACTGGTTGTTAATCGATTGGCAGATCGCTTTTCCAGGGCTAATAATTCCTTCAAAAAATATTAATAATAATAAATAAATTGGTCACTCAATCCACGACTGTTTGTGGGGACGCTGCTGTGTTCGATTGGCTGCCACCCACAAAATATTACAGTCAACTCACTTTACAGTATGTTCTGTAAAGCGCTTTGAGACCTCTCGAAGACGTGATAAGGCGCTAATCAAATGCAAGGATGCTTATTGTTATTATTATTATTTGGACTTAAACTCACTTGGTAGCCAGAGGCCAGCAGAGATTCTGTTCAAAGACTGGGAGCTGGGAGCGGCGAAGGCAGCCGGTCACTAGCCGATACACGTAGGTGCGCGATAGAGCCCTGTAACGGGCGTGGAAGTTCTCAGCCACTCGACGTACCCCTAGAACGCTGGCAAAATACAAGCGGGGAAAAAGGTCTCCGTTAGCTTAAAGAAGCGAGTCGCCTTACAGAGCAGCCTGGGAAGTGCATTAGTCTTAGCTCACGGTTCTTCACATTAAAATAGAAAAGCCTACTGTAGTTTTGTTTCGATACTCTTAAACATGGTGTCAGATACCTCGCTGACCAAAAAAAGGGCTGCCATGCCCTCGTCAGCCACTGATCTGCTCACCTAATCGGCTGTCCTTTCAGATGGAAATTCAGGGCTCCAACGAGGACCTCCTCTGAAAAGGGCAACATTCCCTCTTTCCGCTGGATGTCCAGGTGAGCGCTGTTGCACATGGCGTGTACGCCACTGTCTGTTCGGCTGGAGATCCACAGCTTGGCCTCGTTGGTGGGCCTGAGCCTCTGTACTGCTTCCTGGGTTATGGCAACAGAAAGGAAATAATAATAATAATGCGTTTGATACGCAATTTGACAACGCACTTTTATGCGGCGAGAAACATGATATTTCCTCCCCCCTCCCTGGTGAAATCAACAATGTTCACAACAAAAATCTGGGTACAATCTTTCAATAAGTAATTTTTAATTAGAGCATTCTGGGCAGGGGAGGGGGTGGTGGGAGAAGAGATGTCGCTACATCAAATGCATTAATATTGAATGTCGGACAGAATCTCAAAGCGCTTCACAGGACATAATGTAAAGCGTAGTGAGAAGGTTGTGGGTTCAAACCCAGGTTTGGGACTTTGAACTCACGTTCTAGGCTGACACTGCAATACAGTGCTTCAGGTGGGCGGCAATATCGGAGGTCCTTTGTGTGGGACGAGGTCGCTTGCCGAGCGTTAAATATTTTTGAGTTAAATTATTTAGATGTGAAACCATTAAAGCGGAAACTCATAATTCACCAACTTGATCTGAGAGACTTGTCAAAACGTGTGACTGTTTTTTCCTGATTCATTACAGATTAAAAACAAACGTTCTCTTTCTGGAGAAACACGATATTTCCCGCGGTGCAATGAACAATGTTCACAAAGAAAAGCCTAGTACAGTCTTTTAATAAGTAATTTTTAATGAAGGTGGGGGGGGAGGAAAGAGGAAGGAAAGCAAGGAGTTAAGCCGGGTGTGCTTACAGCTGAGCTGTTTTTAATGTAACCTGTTTAGCAACAGAATGTTAGAATCGAGCCAACCCTCTGTGGCGGTCTTGTTCATCCAGTCCCTGAGCCAGGCAGCTCTGCAGTCCTCCAAGGCATTGCTGATGACACCCCAGTCCAGTTTGTCAGCAGGCCATGGAGGTGTTGACTTGGGGGCAGGAATTATTCCCACTCTGTTCCTATTTATTCTAACAGCAAATATGTAATGGTCCTAGCTGGACAAGCAGCGAGAAGCTTGCCAAATAATGCTCTTAATGGCAAGCCAGATGCTTTTAGCTGGTTCCCCAATGCACACACTGGAGTCACCCAAGCTTGGGCTCATGCAAACCTACGTCTAATTAGGTAAGAGGGTGCATCGCTTCATTCTAGACTCAAGGACATTTCCACGTGGAGGTGCCATGCACGTGTGCAGCTCTCAGGATACACGTAACCGCGGTGACAACTGCATGTGTCAGATACCAGGCCGACCCCCTATAAAAAATCTCATCGAAGTCAACAATCATCCCAACTTTCGGTTGCCCGGACACACTTTATTACTCGACATGCCGAGGGCCAGATCCCTTTATAAAATACCTCAATAGCGCACTGCATGAGCTAAATAAATTCTTCCAACCCTCAGAACTCTCCTCTTTAATCATTCCCTGAGGAGAAGCATGTGGTCTTCATAATTGCATTCAGCCCAGCGTAGCGAGGAATTAATAAGCCACATAAAAGGCCACTCTGTACAGTTGGACCACAAAGTTTGCATCGTGATTGTGATCTATCATGCAATATGACAGCACTGAAAGGGATTGGACGCGGGAAGGCTCAGTGAGTGTTCAAGTCTGCACGCTCTGTGACAGCCAACAGAATGGATCCTCGAGAAGCTTTTTATGAAAGAACAAATAAAAATCCCATGATGTAACCCTGAAGCTGAGATCCTTCAGCTAATTATGACACGGCCTATTCAGTGCTGATTATGATAAGCGAGCGAATACTCTCACCCCCTCGAAGTGGCAAGATCTTGTGCTTGTTCCGTTTCGATGAATGAGGCTACTTATTGCCAGTCTCCCAGCAGCGCTATTTTGTTGTATTCCCAGCCAATTTTCTCCCTTACAGCATCAACTTGGGTTGGGATGTAAAATCCAGCTCCCGTCTGCCTGTTCAGGTAAATAGACCAAAAAAGAACTCGTGACGTAATAAGGTCCTCGCCAACAATACCCCCAAAATTAATTGGCCTACAAAATGCACAGTCCTCAGGACGTGACAGTAATCATCTGCGTAACCAGTTGAGTTATTTAACATGATAAAATTGCCCACGCTATCTTATACTGAATTCCTCCTCATTTTCAACTGTAAGCATGTCTGTCAGAAGAGACTTATAATTATACACTGCAGATATATATATTTTTTAATAGCCCCAGGCATGAAAATAAATCCCTGGAGCATATGGATTGAATCAGATTTAAGGAAAGCAATGGCAAGGGTAATCTACGACAGGCTCAGGTCTGTCTGGAGGGAAGAGCTTAGACAGTAGCAGGGAGCATGGGGTTGTTTGCAAAGCAGCTGCGATTGACAAGGAACGTACTTCTGTGCTGATGTACAAAGGCAACTTTTATTAAAATAGTCTTTCTGCTCAGAGAATCTGTGAGGTATGAGCATTGTGTTGTTACCACACATGGAACTTTTTCCACAAACGTGAACCAACTGATGTGAAGCAATTACAACAGCATTTAACATTTATACAGAGTATTTCATGTTAGGAAAACGTCTCAAAGTGCCTTACAGAGCCGACTAGGAGCCTGAGCTAGCGGTGGAGGGAGCTGAGGAAAGTGGAGGCGAGAAAGGTGACCAAAGCTTGGTCCAAAAACAAGTTCTTAAGATGGGTTTTAATGGTACGGAAGCCTGTTATAATCTGGCACACAAGGTCCCACAAACAGCCATGAGGTGAATTGCTCATTTTGTGTCCAGAACATCAGGATTCCATTGGTAAAGGAGGCACAAAACCTTTGTGGGATTTGAAAGTCAGGAACACAATCTTATATTAGATTTGTTGGTCAGATAAAATTGTGCAGGTAAGCTTATCACTTACCTCTAAGCAATTCTGAACCCCAGGAATCGGCTGTTCTGAAGGGACTCGCATTACCCCACTGTAAAGAGTGAAACGCAGCGTTTAACACAATTCTATCTGATATGGTTCATACTCCTCAACATCTTTACCTTCCCCTCAGAAACACGTCGTCTATAAAATACTTTGCATCAAATCTAAACACAAATGCTCCAACAGTTTTTGAAGGGGAAGTTTTCACTCAAACCCTATTGATTAAAATCCAGAAAACACAATCAAAAGCTGTGAGTTCAAGGCCCCCCCAAAGTTAGTACTTTGAGCTCCGGGCAGTGTCTGACACAGCGTCTTACCACATCGCCAAAGAAACTGTGTATTTTGTGGGAGAAAAGCGGCGGCCAGTTTTGCACACAGCAATACCCCACATACAGCCACCCATGGCGTCGGTGACCAATTCTATTGGGGGGGGGGGGGCGGGGTTGGACGGTGAGGGGTTGTTGGCCAGGACACCGACGGAGAGAGTGAGAGAAACTCCCTTCTCTTTTTGAATAGCCCCGAGCGATCTTTTTAACGTCCACCCGAACGGGGCGCAAATGATGGGGGTGTGTGTGTGTGTGGGCAAAGTTTAACGTCTCATCCGAAGGACTGCGCCTCCGACAATGCCACACACCCAACACAACCCCCACCCCCCTCGCCCTACCCCCAAAGCGCCGCGTTGGAGCGTTAGGTTGGTGGGTGGGGGGGGGGGTAGAGGGTAGAGGGTGGGAGGGTAGAGGGTAGGGAAGGGGGGGGGTGGGAGGGGGCTTGAACCCACAACCTTTAGGCCTCAGAGGAGAGAGAGAGTGTGACACACAGTTTTGGGGGAGGGGGTTATTTCCTGCTGGAAAAAAAGGGTCTGTGAGTAGACAATATATAAGTCATTGTTAATAAGAATAATAATATGGGGAGAAACCACAGCTACGGGGTGGGGAATGGATGGGAGGGTGGAAGGTGGGGGGTGGATGGGGGGGGTTGAGGAGGGGTGTGGAGGGGTGTGTGGGGGGTGTGGAGGTGGTGTGGGGGGTGTGGGGGGGGGTGGAGGAGGGGGTGTGTGGAGGGGTAGTGGGGGGGGTGGTGTGGGGGGTGTGTGGAGGAGGGGGTGTGGGGGGGTGTGGAAGAGGGGGTGTGGGGGGGGTGTGGAAGAGGGGGGGTGTGTGGGGGGTGTGGAGGTGGTGTGGGAGGGGTGTGTGGGGGGTGTGGAGGTGGTGTGGGGGGGGTGTGGGGGGGGTGTGGGGGTGTGTGGGGGTGGTGTGGGGGGTGTGTGAGGTGTGGGGGGTCTCCTCCCGCCTACCTATAGTTAGTGCCCAGATACTGGAAGAATATCAGGTAACGCACGGTGGGCGCGCGCTTCATGTCCGCCGGCTCGGGCTCCGCGACACCGCCTGAGAAGGACCCCGAGCGGCGGCAGACCGAGCCGGCGGCCTGAGTCCAGAGAGGGGGGAAAAAAACCTAAATTACAATCCAAGAAAGCGGTCCGCGGTTTTTCCCCTCCGCGCCGAACGTAATTACTCGAGGACCGACCAACCTTCCCCGCCGGTTCCTTTGGCTCGCTGCGGAATATCCAGTCGTCAGGCGCTTCCGACCGAACGCTCCGCAACTGTCCGAGATAGGGCGCTTTCAGGTGGAGGGGTCTTTTCTTCCCATTGTTTTCGGGCGCGTTAGTGACGTAGCCGCGCCGGTGGATGGTGTGCGGGGGGCGGGGAAAGGAAAAAAGAGGCGCGGGTGGGGGTGGGGTGGAGTCGCGCAGGCGCCGGAGTGCCGAGGCAGGCGTGCCAGGACGAAAGATGGCGGCGCCCTGGGTGGTCACAGCGCGGGCGGCGGGGGCGGGGGATGAGTGGGCGTGGTCGGAGGCGGGGCGAGGGGCGGGGCCAGGGAAAGGGGGCGGGTTCAGCTGACAGCTTGTGTTCCAGACGCTCACACACACTCACACACACACACACACAGAGAGAGGGAGAGAGAGAGAGAGGGTGTGAGGATGTCTCTGTCAGTGCCTTCACTTACCCTGTGGGACTAAACTCCAAAGGCAGGAGAGAAAGCAAGAGAGAGAGAGAAAGAAAGAAAAAAAAGAAAAAACAATTGCCCCCCCATCTCTCTCTCTCTCCACCACCACCACCCCCCCCCCCCCCCCCCACCCCACCCCCCACCTTCAGCCAGTTTGCAAGAGCAGGCGATGAGCAGACTGCACCCACAGAAGGAAGAAGAAATAGCCATAAGAACCATTTGAGGGGCCAAAAAAAAAAGAAGTCAAAATGACAGTGGACTTTGAAGATTGTGTCAAAGATTCCCCTCGTTTCAGGTAAGGGAGGGAGGGAGGGAGGGGGGAGTGGGGTGGTTGGGGGGGGGAGTGGGTGGGTTGGGGTGGGTTGGGGGGAGTGGGGTGGAGGGGCTCCTGGTCATTAGGGGTTTATTTTATAAAATACAAAAAGGGTGTGTGTTTTTTTTTGGGGGGGGATCAACAAACCAAAAAGAAAAGAGAGAGAGAGAGAGAGAGAATAAAGGATAAAAGAAAAAAAATTGAGGGCTGAGTTCATTGATGGGGAGAGTATGTATAAGGCGATTATTTTCCTTTATTGTTCATTGCACTTCAGCTGAATTCTAATGAGAATCCATCAGGACATTTCTTTTTACATATACAGTGTATATATATATATATATCTATATAATATGCATAAGTATCATATATATATATATCTATATATATAAACTAGAGACGTCCAGAGTTTGTGGAGCCAATGCCCCCCCAAAAAAAATGAATGTCACTTCTATTTGCAAACCCCCCCCATCCCCCCCCACAAACAAAAAGTCACCGAATCGTGAGCAAAATCTCAATAATAATAATAATAATTGAGAAGAATAAAACTTAAACGACGTCCGTGTCCACTGATGGTCTGAAGGCGGAGAGAGCTTTCGCGATCCATTGGGTGCGCATCACTGATGGGAGAGAGAGAGAGAGAGAGAGAGTCCCACAAATCTCTGATCAAATGTTGTCCCTTTGCACGTACTCTGCAATAGGCTTTGGGATCTTTTTTTTTGTCCCCCAACCCCTTTTTCCCCAGAAATCTGGGTGGATTTGGGGTGATTTAACCATCTGTCCTTTGCCACAATAGTAACCACTCAGTGACACAAACTCTTGGGTCTCACGAAACGAAATGAGTGAGTGAGTGAGTGAGTGAGTGAATGGCAGAAACCCTGAGCTCTAACCTGGGAATTGCATCGAAATTTCGGTCCCAGTGATGATGTGTTGCCATCGAGGGATCCGGGATTCATTTTACACTACACACCACTACGTCTTTCCACATCCACGTCAAAGAAAAAAAAAACCCCAAAAAAATTGGACAGGAATAATGGGTGCAATCCCCAATTATTTTCGTTTTGCATTCCCACAGAAAAAGAGATGTGTTTCCTTTCCCCCCCCCACGAAAAAAAGGGTTTAGTTGAAATCATTGGAATAACAACCCTTCCTTTTGTTCAGTTGTTTCTGTGGCAATGGACTGACTGACTGACTGACTGACTGCTGGTGCTGACAGACAGAGAGGAGTGATCCCCTTTTGCAAAAGGGTGACAGAAAGCAATAAACACAGACAGCAAATAATGAAACGAATTGTAGATGGTTGCAATGTCAGTGCTTGGATCCCTTTGGTCAAAAAAAGGGGGAGAGAATAGAGAATAGAAGCCATTTCTCTTCATATAATACCAGTCTCATTGATTCCTCGGGTTAACCTTTGTTGCTGTTCCACTGAAATCACTCCAGACAGCGAGTTATAAATCAGTTTTTCTCCCCATTTTTACCGGATACAATAGAGTGCCGTCATTTTGACGTGGCACTGATCAATGGCTGTGATCGCTAAACTCAATCTAATATTGGGAGGATGTGAGCGAAAGAGGACTCAGTTGTCAATTGGATGCCAGGCTTAAGTTAGCCTCTGTGGAGCGAAGATGGAACCTGTGGTATGTATCTGGTTCTTGCTCCCCTGCGATTGAAGATGCCCTGAAATATTTTCTATTCGCGCATTTAAACCCGAGCAATGGTTCTGGATCAAATCCACAGGTTTTAGAGGATGGTGTCACCATTTTGTGGATGGAAAGGGTATCGTGGGTGCTGTTTCCTTAAGGGAATGGCATTACATAAGACGTGTATAAGGTTTCACTTTTTGCCCCAAAGGTATAATCCCTTTAAGTCTTAATCCTTTCAAAGTGGAGTTTGTGGGGACATTGTTTTCACCCAAATTACAGTCAATCCACTTTAAGGATCAAATCCAAGGATTATTATTGTTATTGGATAATACTCTTCCCCCCCCACCCCTGACCCCCCCTCCATCTTCGTGGTCAACCTGGTTCAGAAGGTCGTTAGTTCTCTCCACTCGAAGTCAGAAGGTTGTAGATTTTATCCCACACTGCCAAACAGATGGGTTGAATATCCTTTTCCTGTGCTGTACGAGTCTAGCATTCCATGTACAAAATAATATACATCGCTATCTGTCAATAAGGGAATAGCATTGTAACAAAGCACAAATGGCATTACGTAAGACATGTACAAGATTTCACTCTTTCTAAAGCCATTCTCTATACAACTAAAGCAATGCGCTTGCATTGGCAATCTTTGCATTAACCAGTGGAAGTCTGCCAGGGGCGGAGAGGAGGCCATTGTGTTGACCTCCCAACCTGCGTATTCTTGCTATCAACACCAGCCACAAGACATTGACTTTCTCTGAATAACCGGCACAAAGAATGAACCTTTTTGGAGCCAATCTCTAGCTCCTACCTGTTAAGTGTTACAAGATCGGTTCTGATGAAGAAGGCTCTTAGGCCCATTTGAGTTCATCCTTTGAGAACACCCACCCTCCCAGCATCAAACTGTTCCTGTGACTGGGTCTCGAACCCTTCTGGTAACAACAATAATAGTAATAATAATCCTTGCAAGTGATATAACGCTTCATCACGTCTTTGAGACGTCTGAAAGTAATTCACGGAATACACTATAAAGTGAATTTTGTGGGCAAAACATGGCAGCCAATTGCAAACATAGGTTTACCACAAACAGTTGTGGATTGAGTGACCAAACTATTATCATTATTTATTTTTGAAGGGATTATTACCCCCGGAAAAGCGATCAGCCGATCAACTAAAAACCTACTTATTGTTAGGGAAACAGAGGTGTGTAAAGTAAGATAATTTGCCTAAGGTTTTGCCCTGCCCGGTAATTGAACCCGGGTCCTCTGACTTGCGAGGCGACTGCTCTAACCAATATGCTACAGGACTCTACTGTTGGTCTGTTTCTCACAATTCTTGGATTCTAAGTATGTGATGAGCAATATCCTCCCAGCTTTCCCACCTAGGGTTGACCCATGTCCTGAACGCTGCCAACGGGGCTCAGAATAGACAAGTGACTAATCAGCGGAGGAGAGGACAAAAAAACTATTATTTAAGCTGATATTTTAAACAAATGAAATTGCAATTTAAGAGCAAGTTAATAGCTGATACCGAAAATAAGTCAAATTGCAATTGAACAAAATTTCATTATTTTTTCCTTCAAAAAAGCTGAAGGGGGGCCAAGTGGGTGGGGGTATTCGGAGTCACATCTATTGGGATTTTTAAAGGAATATGATTTAACAGAGCATGAAATCACTTTCGATAGCGAACGGTATTAATAATGCTGCTAAACACTGAAGCTGGGAACAATCTATCTAATTTTTTTTTAAAAAAGTTGAATAGATCCTGGATTTCCTTCCTGCTGCATTCAGAGACGTACATGAGTTGAATCCTTTCCCCTCTCTCCCCCCCCCCCCCCCCCCCCCCCCACCCCTCCCCATTAGCTGTGGGTGATGTGTGTGTGAATGCACACGGCTTTTACTAATTGAATTCCCTGAGGAGAGCAAATGCGTCTTATTGGAAGAACATCTTTTGTCAACCCTTTTGCCCATTGTTGTTCACTTCCTGAAGCCTAAAGGATATGTAGACTTGGGTCTCTCTGATGAGCCCTACTCGCGTATGTATGTATGTATGCAAGTATATATATATGTGTGTATGTATATATATATATATATATATATCCTGGATAACATCAGGTCAAGGAGCTTTCCTCTGGCTGTAAGGAAGCCCATCCTTTCAAACAAGAATCAGAAGACTACAAGACAACATCACAGCCATGCGAGCAGTCAGTTGTGAAATTTTAAACTGTTTCTCCCCCCCCCCCCCCTCCCCAATATACAGTCAGATGGTAATTGACTGCAGGACATGCCTTCGTTCAAGTGCTACTGTGTTATCTACTGGGCCTATTTTAGACACAAAGCAGCCATGTGGTGATCTAACAGCAGAGAATAGGCGTGACATTTGGTTTGTCATGAGTTTTTAAGTCTTTGGACACGTTACCAAAATGCCTTTGTTAATGGTGCAGCATGAAAGGTTGGCTTTGTGTGTGCGCGTGTGTATAGGTGCGTGTTGTGTATATGTGCGGGTGTGGTGTGTGAGTGTGTGTGTGTGTGTGTAATCCTACACTTGCAAGTGAGACTAACATCTGTAAGGTTCTGTACACAAACCAAACTTCAGTCTGGGGAATAGAAACAAGACGTTCTTTCTTACAATTTCGTGCCTGTCGAGGGTGAAAATGAGAATCTGCGTTAAACACTGACAATAATTATCAGCAGTATTAGCACATCACGAGTCGCAATTTTCACCCTTTTCTGTCTGGAGCAAACATTAACAGTGTAAAGCAATGATATGGTAAAATACTGTATTGCCTCTTTTCATCTACGTGTCGTGGACGGTGATGAGATTCACAGCCTCTTCAATGACCGATTGGAACAGGAGGAGGCCATTCAGCCCCTCGAGCCTGTTCCGCCATTCTATTAGACCATGGCTGATCTGTACTTCAACTCCATTTACCTGCCTTTGCTCCATATTCCGTGATATCCTGACATAACAAAAATCTATCCGCCTCAGTCTTGAAAATGTCAATGGATCCAGCCATAATCCACAGCCTTTTGAGGGAGGGAGGGAGGGAGGGAGAGAGTTCCAGATTTTCACACTCCCCTTTGTGCGAAAAAGTGCTTCCTGATTTCTCGGAATAGCAAGAGGCCATTATGGTCGTCTTACACTTGTGTCCTTTGACACAAATCTGCTTGGTAGATAGATTGGTCCAACACAAGTGACTGCTCTGGTATCTCATCAGCCTATAAAATAACAGCACAGAAATTTAGAACTAGGAATAAGCAGGAGGCCATTCAGCCCTTTGAGCCTGTTCTGCCATTTGATTAGAACATAGTCAATCTTTAAATCCGATTTCCCTGCCTTTTCTCC